TGCGCTATTCAGGTCGTCAACAGGTACCTCGTTGACGTCGGACGTTGGGGCACCAAGAGCCGTTGATATCGATGAGCAAAACAGCACCACAGCTGGGGCGGGAAGATGTACCGATAAAGAAAATTGGATGAGATTGTATACTCCTTGAATATGAGGCTCGAAGTTGGCGAGAGGGAGGTTAAAATTGACTGGCCAAGCTGTGTGGATGATCAATGATACTGATCGCTGCATCTCCGCCAGCATATCTTTGCCAACGCCGAGATCAGACTTGTCCAGGGCGCTCTTGAGAGCGACAATCTTCTTTGTGCGGAAGGGCATCACCTGCAAGCCTTTCTTTGCGAGAGCTTCCAGGATCTCTTCTTTTGGCTGCTCCCTTCGTGTTAGGCAGTACACGGCGGATACTGTATCATCATTCAAAAGTTTGAAAAGGGTATGCGCGCCAATGGACCCAGTAGCACCGGTAAGGATCTGAATGATGTTAGAAAAAAAATAACTATGACATTGGAACGACATACTACACTCCTGTTTGTTGAGACGATGTTGGGGTTAGGTGTGTGTCTGCGGAACGTTGAATACTTTTCAATCAGCCCTGGCATCAATGACACCTCGTCTTCCACCTCTGTATCTTGACCACTTTGCACAGCTTGGATATGCTCTGCCAAGCGGGAGATGCTTCCCGTTTCAAATACTATGTTCTGACCGATAGTCTTGCTGTCTGTGATCTTGAAATCTCTGAGGATCAATCGACGCAGATGAATTGCTTTTAGGCTATCAACTCCCTCGGCGAAGAAGTCAGAATCCGCACTTGAGATGGGAAATCCAAGCTCTTCTTGACAGATTCTCATGAGATGCGCCACTGTGTTATTTTGATCAAGCTCAAGGGTACCGTCAGCGGTTTGTTCAAGCTTAGTGTATGCATCCTCGATCACATCAGCGTATTTTGCATATACTTGTGCCCTGATCATGGACCCCTTATCTGTGCGAGGGCAAACTGAACCAACAGGTAGGACCGTGATCATGTCCCGGGAGATTTGAGAAAACTGCTCAGCTCGGGAATTTGCATCCTCCACGGTGGGCCAGATAAGATCTAGAAACTCTTCGCCGGAGAAGCTCTTTGCCTCCTCTGACCGAAAGATCAAAAGGCCTGGGACGGATTTGCCCACGCCAATAACAACCGCCTCTTGAATCAATGGGCTTTGCTTTATGGACCCCTCAATGGGCAGGGGCAGCACCTTCTCCCCATTGACAAGGGTAAGTCGATCATCTAATCGAGTAACGTACTTCCATCGGTCAGGAATGGTAGGGTGCGGGGTGAAGACGTCGCGGGAATGGTACGACCCTGGGGGCTCATCTGAATTCGACGTTGTCAGTGCTGGATGGCCAGCGAGATACACGCACTCATATAGATCCCCACTGATGGGCTTCATCCAGACGAAGGGGCGGAGGTTCTCGAAAAACCTCACATAATTCCAGAAAGGATCGCCTACTGGGCGGGAGAGGGACTCTGCTACCAGACCAGCCTCCGTTCTATAAGTGTATTAGGCGACTGTATCAGCGTGACGGGACTCAAGCACTACTTACAGACCAAACGAGCCACCGAAGTGTACTTTCTCTGCCACGAGGCGATCTCCCAGTTCATCAGGGCATGGTGCGCCGCCATATGTCACTAGTTTAGACTGTCTCAGAGCATCCAGCCCCTTTGGACTATCAACGAGAAGCTGGAGAAGATAAGGGACACCCTGAACAGATTCGGGTTTAGCGGCCTCAAGCGCTGAAGTGACCGATGATGCTGTTAGGGGTAGCGATGCATCCCACATATACGCAGTCTTCCTCATGTACATTGCCTGCAGGGCCGTTGACAAGCCGTGTAGGTGATACCACGGTAGAGAGTTGAACGATGTTAGCCCTGGACCCCGCATTGGATGGGTCATGATGGCTTTGTGACTGAGATAAAGGGGCTTCGGTAGACCAGTGGATCCAGAGGAGTGGAGGATCAAAGCGATCTTTTGTTTTTGGACTTCTGAATTCCGAGTTCGGTGGAGTACCAAGACGTCGGTCTCTTGGGGGACATCCAGAGAGGGCCTTTGAGTAATCGGGCGACACGCAATCAACTTCAGACGGAGAATCTCGCCCATCGTGGCACGGATGCTTGGTGTTTGTCCATAGAGGATCGTGTCGCAGCCGACCATGTCCAGGAGTGATACACAGGCCGCGGCTGACAGCCGTGGAGAGAGCATCATGACCGTGTACCCTAACCTACTGAGCGCGAAGAAGGTAACCACCATGTTAAGATCTGACAGTGTGAAAAGAGCGACTACAGATCCGTCATTGCGGGGCTACTGATTGCATGAGCTGCGGCTGTACTCTAGTGAGAGGTAAGTGGAGGACTTACTGGTCTGAAACCACATTCCATCAATGCTGACACGGTTTGGTCTACCATACAGTCCAGGTCTTGCCCAGTGAAGTATTCATAAGAGGTGGCATCATCGTTGGACGGCTTGGGATAGGCTAGGATGGGAAGCTGGACTGGATCTGCCGCTCTTAAGCGGATGAGGTCATCCAGGACATGAAGACGGCCAAAGCGTGCGATCAACTGCTCTGGGTCTGTGGTATTTGGACGAGCATCTTCTGATGTCTCATTATACTGTGGGATTCCCATGGTGAGACATGAAAGAGTGGGAAGTCAACTGCCACTGCTTGAGAGTGGGGGATTGAGCAGGAGATGGGAACGAGCGAGTTGTATTTAAACGAGACTCTCGACAAGCTGAAGATCCACACACTCGACAGAATGACGAACAATACAAGTCACCTGCGTTCGGCTCTCGTGACTGACTGATCAGTGGTTTCCACAACAGGCAACGGGCATCTTTCTCACCCTCCACGGATCTTTCCCTCAGCTCTCCACCCGTATTCACCGAGTGCCACTGTGGGGGTGTAGCGGTGAAACTTCCCATCTTGGTTGATATGATGGTCACATTCGTACCAATGGTGAATTAGTGTGGAATAGGGCGAGTTGGGTCTTGCGAGGGTCTGCAAGATACTTCCGGTGGTCTGGAAAGACAAATAGCGCACTCTAAAGGCTAAAGTGCACGGACGGGACCCATGTTGAATCTTGAATCGTGGAGCGATCGTCATCATCGTCATCGATAAGCTCCCGAGTGCCTGCTCCCTGGCCAATCCTGACGTGTGGTGGCTGACGTCGAGATTGCAGGGTAATTTGTCAATCACACCGTAATCCCTGCAACACCAGGGTTGTAATCCCATGAGTCTCGGTGCATTGGACGAGGAAAGCGCTACGTCGAGGCGTAGTCACTGCCGTTCAATGGCTGCAGCCAAAGGAATCACTAGTGCTCGGTACTCGCTTCACCAATGCAACCCAGGGAACTGGCGTCTGGCTCCGGCTACCTGGTTTCTTCACAACGACAACACGCTCGAACGTCGATCAGATTCTTTCAAAGAATCGCGACGAGAAAACCTTGGAGGTGTCCATCATGATCAGACCTGTCAACCATCTATCTTCCACATGCTTTGTGGACTGAGACAGAAAATTCCCTCCGGCGGCAGATGGCCGAAATGGAGCCTAGCGGTGTCTGGGCCACCACTGAGGCCAAAAGGTACTTTTGTATTGCGATGTGTGTGATCAAGTTGGATTTTTTTTCTTTTCTTTTCTTTTCTTTTTTTGTCCAGTCTACTTCCATGACCTGTTTCGAATTGCCCAGCTCTCTCGTGGGATTCGGATAAATTGGCCGCTGATCAAAGAATGGGTCTTTAACCGCTCAGCAATGGAAGGGATGAAACATCCGAATTCGCACTACAAACGCCACACTGATCCGGAAAGACCTCGATTGAACTCGATAGCTCGAAGCAGAGACCTCTTGCGGTGTCTTGAGCGACCACTCTGCGAGCGAGAAAAAACTCCCATGAAAGTACTTCTGCTCCAATACTGGGGCCGATACTCATTAACGCTAATAGAAGAAGGACCGTTCTACTTGCCCCAAGATAGATTTTAGGGCCGGGCCTTTTTCCCTGTTGGCTGTCCCTGGTCACTTCTGGTTCCTTCCCGGCCTTTTCTCGGTTAGTGAGTTATGAAAGGTCGCACTACGACTCACTATGCGCACTGTTTGTCGAGGGTCTCGGACGACAAACTATTGCAGGATTAATGCAACCGTCCGTATTGATTGGGCTAGTCCAAGCTCTTCGTGCGGAACGCCACCAGCCTGGAACCAGTGGGTCGGGTCGACCAGTCGATCCATGCCGACTGGACCTGTCCAGCATCCTATCGACTCTACTCTCAGCTCTGGGTACCATACAAGCGAACACCTTCTACACACGCGCATCTAATGCAATCTTACGTATTGTGGCTGGGGTAGACCTGGCCGCACATCGTGTTCATATTTCTGTTCCTCCTCCCTTGACAATACGATTCCGTTGTCTCATACCACGCGGACAACCCTGTTTTATTTAGTTCTATTCTCCCCCTGTCTTTTCCATTTTCAAAAAAAAAACAAATTCCTTGGCCCCCTGTTCTAATTCCTCAGCCGCTCATGGATATCCACAGGACGGCATGTGTAGTGTGCCACAATGCTAGGCTTGCATTAGGACGGCCCGAAAAAGCAATATCCCAGTTCGGTCGCGCAATCTATCCACCGAGATCCCTGTTCGACTCTTGAAATCAATCATTATACCCGGGCATGTTCGGTCAGCTCGTGCTAATAGCCCCGCAGACCTGGGGCCTGGCACCTCGGCATGCATCAGATCAAATGGTGGTAGGTCCAGGGTGGCAATCGCTGTGATGCGCATCTCGTTTTCCAGAACGGCGCATCGCCCCTTATTCCGGTGAAGGAAGAGGCAACACCATGCAAGAGGTCACATAGTTGTAACGCAAGCATAACTGTGGCCAAAGAGAGCCTCGGGAGCGGGGTATGTGTACACCACTGATCACCTGGCCCAATGACTTAATTTAATCTAACTCCACCGATTGATCGCGACTGGATCTCAGCATGATCAGTGATCTTGACGAATGGATGGTGCAATCGGGCTGCCATCGTCTACAAACCGCGCATGACCTCTATTGTCTTGACACTCCTGTCAGAAAGGGGGTGTGCTTGTGGATACGAATCGAAAATGAGTGGTGCCAACAGCTGCAACAGCTTCGCCCCATGGTTCCATGCTCGGGCCCGCCGATTTGTCCGAATGGCCTATGGTCTAGTCGCTGGATCGACGCTACCATGATCGCGATCAGTATTCGCCGATTCAGAGTCACCTACAGGAAGGTTCCACGGAAGACAGAAGCCGTGGTGGTGGCGTCAACATTGGCCCACATTGGCCGTAGCCAGCTCGACGATTCGAGGGCATTTTCGCTCTGATAGCAGTCGTCGGTAAGGATGCATGATGACGGTGTCTGGTGGAAATCATACATAGTTGATAGGGTAGAATATAGAGTACTCCGCTCATACCGATACTTAGTCTCATGCTATTCGGATCCGCCGCAACAGCTGGTTTGAAGACTGGTATGTATGTGTGAAACCCCTGGAAGAGGTTCTGTCACAAATACTACCCACGGTGACTGGTTTCTCTATTGGTCTAGGTCTGAGATGAATATCATCTCCATGGAATAGGGAACCCGAAGGAGAGAGCATGACACAGAATCATGGAGTGCCTGCCATCAACATGACTCGCCCACGCCCCCCTTCCCTGACTAGCGACGGACAATAAGGATTTAAGTTCTGCAAGGCGTTAAATTATTGTAATTTCGAAGTCGACGAGTAGATTCGGCCAACCCCGTGGCCCGCAAGATGACAGGAAGACGTAAACTGATCTATACCCTAACTGCGGCCGGAGGCCTCACCCGGCCTTGCCGTTTGCAGATATCAATTATTGCTTATCGAATTGTTCCGCTACGCCACGTCCCTGCCTTGCTGTCCTACAATGGTCTTGTATCAAACTATCCTACGTAGTGCACGGCTTTGATCCGTGATTCATGATTCATATAACCTATGGACTCCCATCCCACCGACCGTTTTAATTCCGGCTATCTTCCCTGATGTAGCGGACGTACATAGTACATATATGCATTCCGATCCCAACTGCGCGAACATGGAGCCGCAACTGCAGACGCCGCAGCTACTGTCCCTGGTGGAAGAGATCAAGGATTCTGTACTACAAGAATGCAGCTCTTCTCGCTCAGCAACGTCGCATTACCGCCTCCTGGGCCTGATTGACCAGTTGAAGTACACGGTTGAGACGCCGACCGAGACAGTTCTGCGGGTGATCTACCAGGTATACTCAGATCTTCCTGTCTCATTAAATTTGACCCGAATCGCAAGTAGCCTCTCGGTCATTTGGCTGATGCGCTACATAGCCCCCGCAGAATGCAGCCCTTCGTACCGTCATCGACCTTCACATTTTCCCCTTGTTACTGGAACACCCCGCGAAAGGGCTATCGGCTACACAACTATCAGAGTATACCGGCGCCGAGAGGGCACTAATCAGTATGGAGGAGATGCGATATACCCTTTAGGGCCAGTCACTGATGTGTATAGTCCGCCTGATGCGCGTCATGACAGCGTTGGGTCTGTGCGCCAACATCGAGCCAGAGGTGTACCTCCCCACGGACAAAACAATAGCAATGACGCAACCGATTGGACGTGACGGCGTTCCATGCATGTATTGAGAGCCGAGCATGACCTATCAACCTGTGTTTGACACTGACATGAACCCGCAGATACGACCTGACCGTTCCAACCCTCGCTAGACTTCCAGAGTACTTCCGCGAGCACCATTACCTCATGCCCAAGGAGTACTCCCGATCCCCAATGCGATGGGCCGTAGGGCAAAGTCAATTCGAATGGCTCGCCCAACGCAAGCACCACCAGGAACTATTCAACTCATACATGTCCAGTCGACGAGAAGGCAAACCTTCGTGGTTCGAGGTGTATCCGGTTGAGAGACTCACGCGTGGCGTGCTGGAGCATGGCGATGCCGTATTCCTGGTTGACGTAGGAGGAAACCAAGGCCATGATCTGATTCGCTTCCGCGAAAGGTTCCCAGGTGTTACTGGTCGGTTCGTGCTCCAGGACCTACCAAAAGTGGTCACTTCCGCACCAGCAAGTGAGGAGATTGAAGCCATGGCATATAGCTTTCTGGACCCGCAACCGGTGAAAGGTATATTTCTTGTCCAAAGCCAAGCTATCACAAAGCTAATTTGAAGTAAAACAGGCGCCAGAGCTTATTACTTCCGTGCCATCTTCCACGACTGGCCGGATTACATTTGCCACAAGATCCTGGTCAATACCCTCTCGGCCATGACCAGCGAGTATTCGCGCATTATCATTGCGGACTTTGTCCTTCCGGATACCGGGGCAGGGCTGCTGCAGGCGTCGATCGATATCCAGATGATGAGCATTGGGTCTGGGATGGAGCGGTCAGAACGTCAATGGAGGCAGCTATTGGGAGCTGCTGGGCTGGAGATAACCGGCATTTGGAGTGGGAGTCCCGGTATGGAGAGTGTTATTGAGGCGGTGCCTACACGGACTGCTTCGCGATTATAGTTTGGAATCAGCGTCGGTTAAGGTTTATTTTCTCTTGTTGATATTTGATATTTTCGTCTATAATCTTATTGACTTCGAAAGGCCTTCATTCATGAGCGGTATGCTAAACGGGATTCGCGCATCGATATTGGAGGCTTCCAAGGCAGATAGGGTTATAGATGAGTCGTCCGCCAGCTATAGCCCCAGACCAAGCTTCAGCAGCAACAGGAATTCGGAGAATAAGTTGCCTACAAACCTCAATCAATGACTAACACCCGTTCCATCTCACTATCCCCCTTACATGTCTTCCCCTCCCCAACAATGCAATTATCAACACGACCCGGCAAAATCGACACATCACATCCAACCCTCAAACACGAACCAGTAACCTTGACAGTTTCAACTTTCCCCCAAAATCCGCAAATAAAGTTATCCCTTGAATAAACCAATCGACACACATTGCATTGCATATACATACCCAGTCCCAAAAAGAAAAAGAAGAAAAAAAAAAGAAAAAAGGACGCACCACTACCGATGCAAGATGATCATTCCCCAAACGCAGATGCATCGCATATGCACCCACACTGGATCCAGCTTTGACCACGCACGGACATCCCAACCGGGGTAGGAGGGACCCCACGCTCTATCCGAAACAAGGGATTTGCGCTGTCATATTGGCGTCTCTCGTTGTAGTTGGAGAGGTCTCACCGCTGGTATATAGTTTATTGGTTTAGTGTTGTGGGGAAGTGAGATGTCATATTCGGCGGTTGCAGGAGCGGGAGGTCAGGGCGTTTGAGGTAGATTTAGTCATTTAACGGCTGCTCTTGGGTTTGGGTCGAGACCGCCGGTTTAGGGGTTCGTGGATATTACTCCTTTGGTTGGCATTACGCGGTTTGTCGCTATTACTTTCTGTTGCGGTCGGGGATGTCCTCTGGGATTTGGATCGCTACGTTTGGGAGGTGGGCTGATCTTGGTTGACCTGGTTTCGGGCTTTAGAGGGATTGGTCTCACAGATCCGAGGAGGTTATCTTGTTGAGTGATGGACCTGTCTCTCTTGATCTCTCGACACATCTTCGGTTTTGTTTGTTCTGCCCTCATAGTGAGCTTTACTAACATTGATACCCTCAGCCAAGCGTCGTACTTCCTAGAGAACATATCAATGGAGCATCTATGACTTATTGGATTTGCTATTCTATGGCTGAGGGGTGGGCAGTGAGACTCTGTAAGCACGTTAATATCTGTCGTGGAACCAAGACACATCGCCCTATTTGTAAAACTGCAGCGACGTTATGCATCTACCCTCTACATTTTCCTCCTGTGTAACGAAAGTGCTCATGGCTAGGATCCAGTAGCTGCCTCATGATGTCCAGCGGGATGAGTATAGAACAGCGGTGTGTGTGTGTGCCAGGCAATATCGGCAATGGATAACTTGGTTTCCTGTTGCGGAAATGATAGTTATGTGAAAAGCAGAAGACATTCGAGTCGGGATAACGCTCCTTGTGCTGTAACCCTAGTTGCTATAGACATTTTCACTCCAGGGCAATGGCAGTTGGGGGAATTGATCTGCAGCTTGTATTCACTCAAATCGGGGCTCTCCATGTCCACGTTGCACCAATGGCTATTCCAGCATAATTCTACAATTCTCTCTATCCATCTAGTGAAATTGTGACCACCTTTTCATTAACTGGTTTCTGTTTTCATGTACTCTAGACAGAGGGTCGAAAAGTGAATTAAATATAGCCCTGGCTCTGACAAAGACCATCCTCCACTTCCAGTAATCAAGAGGATGTTATTCACACGCAAAAGCTTCTAGTGATCACGTATTGATGTAGAATACAGTGGAGTATGGGAATCACTGTACTTGGCAAATTTCTACAACAATCCAATGTCTAGGAACTTATGGAGATTCGTGCGTTACTATCACGCCCATTTTTATATATCTATGTCCATGTCATCTTTTCAAAGGCTTGACGGTTGAAGGGTCCCTATAGATAGACTCCCTAAAAGGATAACTGGTATCTATACTGTGTCCAAATGGCAGATGTATAGTTTTGTTATGGCCATGGAATGACGCTTGGTTGTGAACTGTTATGGCTATCTGGATCCGCATTGTGGGAGCGACAAAGAACCTGTGATAGGTGATATTTCATGCCTTGAGGCATCACATAAGGCGGTCTTGTATTGTTTGTCACAGGATTGTTCTGTCCACGATGGAACCTCCAGTGAATGGCTGTCTTCAGTATTTCTATATCATCATATAGCCCTGATGGATACCCTTGGGAGATGGATCAGTATGTCTTGTCAACCCCAAGTATCTATGATCTGATTGTACCTAATCTAACAGGCCTAGGGATAAACACAATATGCTTGACGGCCTTTGCTGAGGAAAGACATCCGAAATGTACACCAATCCTGGTGACTGGCACAGGGCAAACTACTCCTGTATCTGCATTTTCAGAGCCAAATATTATCTTGATATTTGAAGACTGATCTCTGGCAGTCTGGACGTACACCAGAAACCCGAACAATCCACGCACTGAGATAAGCAGACAGCAACCAAGCACTCCAAGTCGCCGGGTATGCGCTAAGTATCTATATCTAGACTTCCGTGCCATTGAGTGCCGCACTCATCGCCTACCTTTGGATAATGACGCTGGTTAATACGGCAGCTATTTTCTCCGCATTCGTGGACACTGTCATCCAGTTCGCCATCTTCCTTACGCAGAAAAATAGTGTCTTTTAAATTCGTGCTGCTACGTGGCTTATCGTGGTTTTCGAGTGTTCTCGTAATCTCACGTAGATAACCGCCTCCGTATTAGGTCAATGACGTTCGAGCATGATATTCTTTGGCTCGTACTTACCCCGATTGACAAGCGTTGCTGCGCAGTACCATGTTACATTGTACTAGAGTGGCGACAGCCAGTGGTGCAATCCCAGCCAGTATGGCAAGCGTGCTCAAGATGGCCTTCATCATTTGCAATGGACAAAACTGATGTTTAGTGAGGGTTGGATGGTCTCGGCTAAGGGCCAGATTCGGGTGTGATTCTACACCAGAGTTGCTAGTGGAAGAAGGTGGTTATATACTGAAGATCTCTCGAGTCTTACCCTGTCGAGCATGCATAGGTAATGAGTGCACTTTCCTTTGATCTTCTTTCTGCATCTTCCAACCTGTTTCTGCTAATGAAGGGATCTACAATGTTCTCCTCGTGGTGAGACGCGCGAATCAATTGACACCGACAAAGCGCCTTTATCTAAATGCATGTCCGGTTTTTGTGCTGGTCATATTGGACTGTTTCGGCTTTGCTCGAAACAATGGCAATGAGCTTGTCGTCCCCCAGTCCTTTGACAAGTTGCAGTCCTCCTTGCCAACGCTTCTGTTGCTGATCCTGAATCATTTCGGCTGCTCTTCTGAATGAGTACTCATGGATCATTATCTCTGCCATTCCTGGATGACTTGGCCGTTGTTATAGATATTGCATCACCCCGTGCAATCTAAGACGAAACAAAGGATGGTGAATGCCTCCAGGTAAGGACACACCCTCGTGACTTTATTTCCCCAGGAATCAGGGAGGCTGTATGGTTCCAGATTCGCTTTATGATTAATATGTAGTATTAGAAAGAAGATAATAGGCTAAGGGACCAGCTCTGCAGTTTCCGAAACCGTGTAGGAGCGCCTCCTCAAGAGGCAGGTACTATTCGCTTTCCATCCATGGGTGTCATTTCACGTCACCACGCAATCGGGTATTATATACAAAGTGACGGCTTAACGATGGCCAAACCCAAACACGCTCATCCGATCGGATATCCTCACTGGCGGAGAACATTGCGGATGGCAGTCTCAGCCCACAACTTCGTATACTGCTTATGCAGCCAGAGAATATGCGGCGGCATCGGCTGGTTCTCGGCCTTCCCTTTTCCTCGGTAGAAACAGCTCTTGAGAGCAAACTCCGCCACTCCTTCCTCGGGCTTAACGACGGCGGACATTTCGAAGAGACCGTCCGATTCACGGACGTCCTGTTTGCGGGGGCTATCACCGCAGCGGACCACGATCCGCTCGGGGGTCTTCTCAATAACTTCGAAGTGGTCGGTGATCAGGGTGCCGACATCATAGGTGGAGGCCTTCAATTCCGACCGTTCCCAGAGGTGGTTCGCGGTCTCGGGGCCTTGGTATTTCCGGGCGAGGTAGGCGCGTTGGAAGGCATAACCTAATCACATCCGGCATGTTAATCTCGATTCTCTCCGACCCGGCCGCCGGGGTTGGGTATGGCCGTTCATGGGGGGTGGAGGGTCCTGTTTTTACCCCAGCCGCTCCAGACTCCAGCACAGAAGGCTTCAGCCAGCTTGCCCTTCTTCTCGAGCAACGTCGGGTTAATGTCGGAGAGGGGTACTTTGCGCACGCAAAGGTCGTGGGTGGTCGGGTTTTGTTCGGGATTGAACTTGCGGTAGGCGGCGGATTGGAAGATGGGATCCGTGGGCAACATCGGTACGAAGACGTCATTGCGCGTGGTATAGAAGAAGGCGCCCGCCGAGGCGAGGCCTCCGTAGGTGGAGAGCTTCAGGAATCGTTTGATGAGACCCATTGGGACGTGAGTGGCCTTTTCGGAGGTGAATTGGAGGAGAAGAAAGAGAAGAAGGAAGAGCGCGAAGGGGAAGTCAAGTGACGCTTAATGACGATTGCGGACGAATCACCTCCGGTCGCCAAGACTGCGGAGTAAATGCATTCGATTCGATTTCCAGGTAAACAACAATTTCCTTTCTCTGCAATAAGCGATTCAATTGCCGACCACCGCCTCTTTTCTGATATTGGGTTAACTCAACGGAGCTACGTGACTTAGTGCCCAAGTGCGATTGTTCTTTATTACGCTTCCCTTAAATCGGTCATGTCATCACCATATCTAGTCTAGTCTAGATATATATATTCCAGTATATCGACCGCCTTGACCCGCCTTCCAAATGCCGGGGGGTTCTCTGAACAAACCCTCCACAGCAGTCTAATCATTAATCGAGTAGAATTCGACCTCGGCGATCATCGTACAGGCAGGGATCGTCACACAGATAGGAAACCCGCCATAGTCTGGGTCCTCGTTAGGCATCATGGCAAAACTCCCGCTTCGTGTCTCGTCGCCATTGAGCACCCTCAGCGTCTTGAGTTCGCCCGTCTCTTGATTCACGACGAATTTCTCTTCGAACCGTAGAATACCGGTGAACGTCGCGGTCGGGGACAACGAGCTCGCGCGCACCTGAAATCCCCAGCCGATCAACAAGAACTTGCTGCCACCAAGGTGTATCACCATGCCAGAGCCCGGGCCAGGTTTGCCAAAGACAAAGCAGCGTTCAATGGTAATCTCAAACTCCTCGTAGTGCCGGACAACCGGCTTTGACGGGTCGGAACCATTGTCCGCAAGCTCGTCGAAAAAGAAGCCGACCGACGAGCCCGGTCGCCGCTGTGCATCAAGCACAATTTGCGAGACGGAGTTCAGCAATGCATAGTGTTTGGTGAATGGATTGCTAGCTGGCTCGAGGGTATCGACGCCAAAAGGTGACACTCCGATCGCTTGGTATGATCCGTAGGCGGTCCAGATCCGTCGTACTCCGTACTCATCACGTCGCTGCTCCGGAATGAACAGTGGTTGGTTGCGATGACGGTACTTACGACAGGACTGAGCATAGTCATTTAGATAAACATCGGGAGCGATGAAATCTAGTGCCGGGGCAAACTGCTGCCAGATGTCAAGGACATTGCTGGTACCGCCGCCGGATGGATAGTCACCAGGCAGACCACCGCCCCCTGCAACAACAGGGAAACCATTATCCCCATCCTCTCCCACATAGTTCTGCCACACATTTGTATAGAGGGGAATTGGGTATTCTTGCTTTCCCGCTGTAGCGACCTGGTTCAGATAATGTGCGTAGTGGTAAGCCATGAAGAGTTCGTCCGTGTGGGTTCCTCGACCAAATACGTCTACCCATGACCCGCGTGGTTGGGCATTAGCCCTGAAGTGGACCAAATTGCTTCGGAGGTCGGGATGAAGATGGTCCCAGTCATGGGCTAGAAAAGAGAGCAAGTCGTCCGGCACAGGTTGAGAGAAGCGTTCTTCGGCGACCGACGACCCATCTCGCGAGTCGCCGAGCAAGCCTGTCTCATTCTCGACTTGCACCATTATGACAGTTGAATGATTGCCATCGAACTCTCGTAAATGACGCATGAGATGGGAAAATGCATTTGCGTCACTTTTCGGCGCTTCGTCGTGGAAGATTGATAGTACATCGGCAGTCTGAAGAACACCCCCAGCTTTCCTTAACTTGGCGCGAGGAAACCGCTTTGGATTGGTCTTAACCCAAGTTGGCACGTACGTCGATATACCTACATTCCACTCTCTTGATGAGTAACAGATTATAACCACCGAGTATCAGATTCATTGGGAGTCATAAGCGTACCATTCTTGAACGAACCAAACCACAGTAGCACGAGCCGTAGCCGGTGCTTTCTCGCACCTAAGATAACACTGTCCAGTTCGGTAAAAGTAAACTGGCCTTCGGTCGGCTCGATCATCTCCCAGGTAACACATCCGAGAACAGTGTTGATATGAGTGTCGACGAGCTTTTGCCAGACTGTATCCATATATTTCGTCGAGGTTAGGGAGGAGTTCTGGAGTTCCCCAGCTAGAGAAAGGAAAGGTTTGCCATTGACGATAAGCTGCTTCCCGTTGGCTGTTGGATGCAGATGAGGGTAGGTTGTGTTCGGTAGTGACATGATAAAATAGCACAGCTGTTGCAGAGGAGATCACGAAGATGATGGTGGTTATGAAGCCAATGAACCTGACTTCGAGGCCCTTTATAAGGACTACTTGCCATCCCGCCGGAGGAATGCTTTGAAAGAAGATCGGGATTGAGACCCGTTGATTGGCTTATATTCCGGGCTATAGTCTGATTGTAAACCCGCCTGAAGCATGGCTGAATAGAAAGTGAAAGTACTATGTGGTGCTGGTCATATCGCGGGTGAGCCGATCTACCGATGACTTGATGCGGGGATTTATGCAACCCATGGTCTTTTGTCCACTAAGGTGGATCCAGCCAGAACGTGGCCTTTGAATGGACACGCAAGCTTGGACCACGTACCATAAAGCAACTCTGATTTAGTGCGGACGGCAATGAATGAGTCTCGTTGGCTCATAAGCCGGCGCTTCTCCGCATAATGTCTCTATGGGGCGATTTTCCGGGACAGTGTCATGGATGTCTCAAGGATAAACATGATTTGGAATGGAATGAACAAAGCCACCGTGATGCTTGTAACTTTTGCTGTCGTTTTGATGTTTAAAGAAGCCTTCGCTGAAATGTATAAAGAAGCATGCTACTGCCTTTTGCCTTTCATGATGACCTTTCCTCCTTTTGCTGTGCTGGCAGAGTTATCAATACACGCTTCCTATGGCTTTGACGTTGGTTTCGTATTCTGCTACTATGAGCTCTTCCAAGAACCTTGAGCAGGAGGCTGACGTCTCGATTGAACATGCGGAGATAGCGTCCACGCATGCTCACCCTACCTATGAAATCCCCAAGGTCACTTGGTGGAAGCTCCGTGGTCTAAGAAAGCTCTATGCAACAATGCCTCTATTGTTCCTTGGCAAGTGGTCACTTGCTAAGCATGACGAGTATGAATTAACCTCTTGCCCATAGGTTCCACTATTAATGGATATGATGGCTCGTTACTAAACGGGTTGCAGACAATGGCTCCGTGGCAAGCCTGTAAGTAGAATATCCTGGCCGATGCAATACATCATTTAAACCAATCAATACCGACGCGAATAGACTTTGATAATCCCACTGGGTCAACGCTTGGACTATTTACGGCAATTCAGAACATTGGTGGGGTCTGTGCTCTTTTCTTCGGTATGTCACTTAGGCGCCCTATTCTCTGGCGCGGATACTGACTTCGGGACCAACAGCCTCCTATGTGGCTGACCTCTTGGGACGTAGGATTGGTGTAGCAGTGGGGCTTGTCGTGATCTTTATCGGCACAATAATACAAGTAGTCCCGTCTGTAAACAGTGGAATGTTTATCGCTGGAAGGTTCCTGGTCGGTCTTGGGTACGTGTACCTCGACTCACACAATCTATCGAGGGCTAAGTCAAAACAGGTCCAACATTAGTCAAGGGTCGGCCCCGTTGCTTATCACAGAGCTAGCACATCCTCAACACCGTGGGACATTGACCACCATGTACAACACTCTGTGGTATATTGGGTCAATAATAGCGGCTTGGACTGTTTTTGGGACTATTAAATATACTTCGGAAGCATCTTGGAGGATCCCGGTTGGGATGCAAGCAGCTATGCCCGCCATTCAATTTGTGGGAATCTGGTTCCTCCCGGAAAGCCCCCGTTGGTTATGCGCCAAAAACAGGGCAGATGAAGCCTTCAGTATCTTGGTAAAGGTGCGTTTCTCGTGTTCCTCTGCTAATCGCCTGTTGTGCGACAAGGCTATTTCAATCCTCTGGGAAAACAGAGTTTTGGACCCTAACTTGGTTAACCATGTATCCTAATAGTACCATGGCAATGGGGACCAAGCCGACCAGCTTTGCGCGTTTGAATTTTGTGAGATTCAGGAAACCCTGCGACTAGAAAAGGAAGAGTCCCGGAACGGGTGGCAGACTCTTATCAAAACACCCGGAAATCGTAAACGCCTCCTCTTGGTTGTGTTGGTTTCCTTTTTCTCTCAGTGTTCGGGAAATGGCCTGGTATCATATTATCTGCACTCGATCCTGAACTCAGTCGGCATCGAGTCCTCGCATGATCAGGCAGTGATTAATGGAGGCCTGCAAATTTGGTCCTTTCTTGTCGCAATCGGATTTTCCTCCTTCCTCGTTGACGTTCTTGGCCGGCGCATGCTCTTTATGATCGCTGCCGTAGGCATGTTAATCAGCTTCAGTATTTGGACAGGGTATGTCCCTCCGCCACTCATTACGTATACAGCTCAGGCTTTTCTGACCAATCGCGCAGATGTTCCGCTGTTTACGCGAAGACAGGCGACACTGGAGCTGGAAGTGCGGTGATCGCAATGATATTTCTCTTTTACGGCGTGGCAGGCTTCGCGTGGCCCGGACTCACTGTGGCTTACTGCGCAGAGATCCTGCCCTTTAACATCCGAGCGAGGGGAATGGCTGTTGCGTTCGCTTGCACATCAGCGGCATCAGTCTTCAATCAATACATAAATCCGATTGGTTTGGAGAGGTTGCAATGGCGTTTCTACTTTGTTTATATCGGTATTCTTGTCGTTGAGTGTCTCTGTATTTGGTTCCTGTTTGTAGAAACAAAAGGCCCGACCTTGGAGGAGATTGCGGCATTGTTCGATGGAGATAATGCGAACGTGGGAAGGTCGGAGGAATCGGAGATGCCTCAAAGAGCCGCGAATATCGAGAAAAGTAGCGCGTAAGGAATACCTTGAAAATTATATCTATTGAGACCCTTGTGGCCGAAGTATTGACAGGGCATCGTTGACGAATTTGTCTCTCTCTGCTAGCTGCAACGTGGCCGGGGGGCCAGGATTCCCCTCTATCGGCAAGGCATGTTGCAGTAGGAACTTCAGGATCCATTTGTCCATAGTATAGATCCGATCCATCGACAACATGCAGGCCTTTTGAAATGTAAAAAGACGTTCAATCTTAGAATTCTTAGAGAGCTGCTTGACGAAATACGGCTGACTTATGCTGGAGACTCACCATCATGCCCACGCCTCTCCAATAGGCCTTTAGTCGCAGTAAAATCTGAAAGTTGTAATATAACCTCCTTTTGGTGTCAAATAACTCATCCTCTTGGCCGAAGAGTAGTGTATGAAGAAGCGCGGAAGATGATATCACTGTCATATGAGCGACGATGAAGTATACAGCTTCGCATCCCTTTGTTTCATTGGACGACCTCAAGAGGTCGCTGAAGGCCGCCGCGTGGTACTTGCATCGTGTGGCAAAGAGCTTCCGATCAAGGATATGAGTCAACTGAGAGCCGAGATACGGGAAATACAAGAGGGTAGCATAGTGGTGATAACCCAGGTGGAGAGCAATAAAGGCTTGCCCGATACCGAGCCTAGCATGCGTTTCCATGTTTTCCGTGGTGAGCTGGAGCCCGGAGGGTAGGCTTTGAATAAAGGTCTCAAACTTAGAGGCTAACTGACGAGTAGAAGTCTCTATACCAGAATTGCCCAACGTGCCATCGGCGAGCTGCAGATGCAGATGTTGTATCTGACCGAACACTCGTACCAGAATAATCATATAACCCCAGAGACCAGGCCTGGTGATCTGTGACACATTGTCAACCGGCTGTCCAGGAGCCAGGCTATGAAAGTCCAACTCAGACATGGGCAATTGAAATTGGTTACTGTCTTGGATCTGACGGGGGATATTTAAACCAGCTGAGGACCATTGGTCGATCATGTATAGTGACCACCAAGTACGAAGTCTGCTTTCTCTCATAACTTCATCGTCGTCTAGCGACGGCTCAGGAAGACGAAGAATCTGTGCCATTCTAAATGCGATCCCTGAGATTATATTTAGCAAGGTCTCCGCCATCGAGCAAGCAATCAAAAGAGGAAATAAAAAAGAAAGGAAAGGAACGTAATTGAAGATCCTCTTACCGAAATATAACGCCTCACCACTGGAATCACCCTCGGATCCACAGATATTCCCTATGAGGATGGTGGCATGGATAGTATCTAGAGAGATATCGTCAACTGACATTTTCACACGGTCTTTGGCTGACTGGAAGAAGAGATGCTTGGTCCGTTCCCTTGTCCCTTGGGCCGTGGAGAATCTTCAGCGGAGCAAAATACATTAGCTTCTCTGGGCTGAGATCTCTATTCTTTCCCGCAGCTGCACAGTTGACTTACCGAGCTGCCAGCGCCAAGATACTATAGAGGGTTCCTTTCGCTAAAGACCCATTGCGTATCCGGGATTTTAGATGTGACGGATGGAAAAGCGTGTGAGGCTTATCGTGTATGAGCTTCAGATACAAATCCACGAGCTCGTCGCGAACGTCATCTTCTATCGTCACTACCCGCACTAGGGGATTAGGGGATGGAGAATCAACAGGAAGCAACAGAGGTTTCGTGTTTCGAGTGGCAGACCATGAGCAAGATTGATGTCTGGTGGAACATTGTAGACAGCGACCATCGCGGATAGGATCTGGCGTACACTTCCGTTTGGCTACGCGGCATTGACTGCACGACTTGGCTACCTTCATACCATCGGCATTGGAGAAGAGGGTGTGATCCGATGATAATTCTTGGGGGCCTGACTGGCTCGCCTGAATTCGGGGTCCTAAAAGAGGCACGTGGGGTCAGATGGGCGGTCTCATTGTGATTGGTGGATGCTGGGTAGAGGTGGCATTGTCTAAAAGAGGTACCCTTTCTTTGTCCTCGGCATCCTCGAGGTACCTGGTGTGTACATCGAGGTATTATTGAGATTGTCAGACTTCCAATCCCTGATCAATCTTACCACTTGGTCAATCTCACCAGGGGGGTCATTGCCAGACATTCCTTTGAATACCACCCCCGCCTGCGCTAGGCATCAATCTACAACCCTCACCATTCAACCTCTCTGGCTTGTGACTTGTCGCCATAATCGGAGTAACATGCCTCATATCCCTGCTGAGGTGATTCTACATATCATCGAATGTCTTGTCCCATCAGCTCATACTGTCGCATTCCCACCAGCGCACCCGGTGACCCAAACATTAATCAGCCTCACTCTCGTATCCAGCCTCACACACCGCACAGCAAAACGACTTCTTCTCAAGCACTGCCTATACCTTGACTCTGAAAAACGGCTGGATCATGTTCTTCCGCAGCTTCACACAGACGATGGAAAACAAGAAGCAGATCCGATGGGACTCTTCTTGGCTCCATTCCCCAACAATAGCCTAGAGGAGCCCCAGGTGGTAAAGCAGGTTGGCCAACTGTCATCGTATGTCTGTGGTAATCTACGGCGTCTCGTTATCGATGTTCCGCTGCGGTACCTCTATCCGGACGAAGACGTACAAGGGTTACGAAAAATACTACGGGCATCCTTCGTCCGCCTAACGAAGCTGGAAGAGTTCTGTTCTGTTCAGGACGAGATGTATTGCGATACTACAGAGCATGGAACTGAACCACCCGTATGGTCATTATGGCCACGTCTCAAACACCTCGCGCTATACAACCAGAGCGTAGAAGGGCTTGGGTTCCTACAGGCTCTTCAGCGGTGTTCAAACCTCACCCATCTGGTCCTCACACGGCCGGATAGTCTAACAGAGCCCATAGACCGGGGTCTAGAGGGCCATAAGTGGTGGTCATTCTTGAAACGTGTTGTGATTGTAAACACTGCAAAAGGTCATGAGATAGAGTTCTATACGCGAGAATCCGACTGGCGGATGAGCTTTCTGGGGCACATGATGCGTCTTCAGCACTCTGATCGGTCTGTTTCCAATATCTTGTCCCAGGACACAAATCCATTGTTAGAATACATAGCTGTGGATCTTTCACCTGGCCGAGCAGCAGACGACATCGGCCTTTGTCAGGAATTCGTCCAGCAGCATGCTGTCCAAGGGACGCTGTGGAGCTACCCGGGAGCTCCCTATTCATTCAATCACTGAGGATTGAAATTACATGATCAAGGACTCTTTTATGAAAGTTGATACCAAGGCACTCACTGCCTTATGTCCGTGGTTTCCATATGTGTTGATGCCACGGCATACAATAAGGACGCTGAGGATGCTGATTTATATACACTCGATGGTATTAAACAACCATGAGTAGTCCAGGATTACTCTAAAAAATATATAGTTTTGATTTCAAACGTCATCTGCTCACCCAGCCACATGACAGCCAGTATTCGTAGTAAGAAGGATTAAGCGGGTTAAAAAGTACTTTTGCGCAACACGAACACGGTTACAGAGTACACAGTATTTTTCTGACCACGATCAGCGGCCCTAAACGAAATCGTTACTAACTGTATTCTACATAAGTATACTATATACGAAGTAGTAAGTTTTTCATATATTATATCTATATCGTTTTATTCTCTATTTTTCTTAACTTCTCGGTGGGCACTTTACATGCATCGAGATTGGATACTGATCCTGATTCAATCACAGAATTATGATCGAAAAGAGTGGGTGTATAATACTAGTAGCAACAGACTTACAGAAAATATTTTACCCAGTTCAAGCCATGCCGACAGTAAATCCGCTCCGACCTCAGCAATCGCACCGATCTTTTTCCTAATGACGCCGATGGGTAAACCTTAAAAAACCTTTAATTATGGTTAAGGTTAAACCATGTTAACTATCATAGTAAGGCTATCACTTCCGCTGCCTACAGAGTACCGCTAGTACACTGTAGCCTTTCTTTCTACCCCAACCATCGCCTTCTTTTAAATTTAGTAGAAATAGAGATACTAAAGCTACTCACCATTTAGGTTGCCAAGGACTTCTATAGGTGAATACCTAAGCCGCAAGCGTAAATTGTCTAGGCATGTATTAAGGATATCTCAGAATCATATATATCCACTATTTAGGGCGACAAAAAATGCTGAATGTAACCATGTTCTATATTTGTCTAGGCCACAGTAAGGTGGTGATTTTACAAATTTTTATGTGCGTAGAGAAATTTCCTGGCAATATCTGACCACGCTGACCATTTTTCTAACCACGGCGAGCTGTATTTTCCTCGTTTACCTGGGCTACTATGACTCAATTGAATGAACTTCCGCTGTCCTACGCAGCTTTTAGACGGAATCTGCAGGGTCAGGATGTTAGTATTCCTAATATCTATAACCTATTCCCTGAATGGGGACCGAGGATACATCCCGAGTACCAAAGGGCAAGGAATGAGATTCTAAACCCTTGGATTAGTCGGTCAGTGCCCTAATCTCACAAACGTTAGGGAGGACTAGAAGTTGAAGAAGAATAACAGCTGGGTGGATGATGCGAGGATCAGTTGCAAGCTTCAAAAAGCCGAGTTCGGTCTCTTCGCTGCCATGTTATGTGCAGAAGCTTCATTTGAGAAGCTCTGCACGGTAGCAAAATCCTTTGCATGGGTAAGTTGGCTATTCTTTCGATTTGTCGGATTCATACTCTTACTGCTGACGCTGCGGCCTTATATAATGATGCAGTATTTCATCTGGGATGACAGTAGGTCGAACGTACTGGGTCGTACTCAAATACCCCGGCCGTATTCACTAACCTCCTCTGAAAAGTCTTCGATTGCGGTTCCTTGAAATACAACTCCGAGGGCGCAAAATGCTACCGGCAAGCAAGCATAGAATATTTTGAGCATCAACTCCTTGATGCGCGAGACCCGCCTGACCTGTCGCCGTTTACGCTTGAATTACAGAAAGCTTTACTATGCTGGGATGAAGTAGGTTCACACATCCGTGAAGTCTGTTCGAAAGGTACGGCATGGGTCTCCGTCCTTCCCTAGAAATTGCATGATCAAAACTTAGAAGGCATATCAGAAACTCGTGCCATTCTTCTGGACCGCATGGTTGAGTATGTTGCCAGTGTGGATAATGTGGACAGTCTGTACAGTAACAACAGAAGAGTTCCTTCCCTCCAGGAATATTGGGAGCGCCGAGAATGTACAGCAGGTGTTTACCCGGTCATTGCCACAATTCCGTATGCGTGTCTTCCGATTTCCAGTGATTTGTCTAACTGGTGCAGATTCGCCTACGACCTCGATATTACTAAAGCCACCGTTGAGAATCCTTACATGAAGAAACTGTGGAAACACACCTCCTACCTGGTCCACATGTATGTTCTTCCTGCTAAGAGAAGATTGTATCTAGGTTAACACCCGGGCCCTCATAGAACAAATGATATGTTCTCCATGCGAAAGGAAATTGTATACTATTGTTCTGTCTGGTGGGTTCTAAGCGGCAGCTGATAGGTCAAACAGAATGACATGCAGATCGAAAACCTCATCCCGATATTGATGCTAAATAAAGGGATCCAATGCAATGACGCAATGCAAACAAGCTACGCATTCGCAACGGAAGAAGCCTCAAAGTTCCAAGAGGTAGAGAATATACTTTCACTGGGGCTGGGTAAAACCTCAACGCAGATTTCAGATGCTTTTGTGAGGGGATGTAAAGACGTTGTGATGGGGCTCATCCACTGGAGGTAATGCTTACTGGAGTATAATAATACGGAGGAATCTACTACTGACACCGCGGTTCAGCTATTCTGGTACACGATATTTTCAAAAAACCGAGATTGGTGCAGACTATGTTATTCGGTTCCAAATTGGTAGTTCCCAAAGAGATGCCAAGCAAACAAGCTTGAATATGGCCCGGTTGACTTGAACGATTTTCTCAATATCTGGCTTGTCGGTAACAACTGCTCTCACAATTCGGGTACTATCCAGCCTTTTGGGTACTGTGAAGGGAAAACGGGGGAAAAGGATTAAAGACAAAGGAGCGGATGTAACCCAGGATGTATCTATCAGATCGGCTCAATAAGAAGATGGACTGAGAATGACTGAATCAACTGATACGTTTTCTTTTCCTTTCCTATACGCACTGTAACGAATTGTTTCAGTGGCCCTAACATTCCAAGCTGGTCTGGGGTTGAAAGGTTACATCATGGGTGGAAAAATGGTCGAATGCGCTTTGATGATGCTCGAATCTATCAGCATGAGTAGACGAAGTCACTTAGGAATGCCAGAATTAGGCCAATCTCTGAGGAATAATCAACATGAAACATATCGGAAAGGCATATTTACACATTAACTCTGGATTAGCCAAAGAGCAACGGCGTAATCATGATTTCCATCAGTCTGAATACCATGGCCTACAATAAGAATACTTAAGACACCACTCATGTATATACGCTCGAGGATTGAAATGCAGTCGTGCTAAAGCTCATGCTAAAAGCGATTACCAGCTGTATTGCTTCAGCCAAGAAGCATATGTTGAGTATGCTCCACCATCCATTGCAGTTGTTATACCTACTACCAAACCCCCCTTATTTGAAACACTCTCCATTCTCCATGTTCAACTTAGACAGCGGCCGCCCATAGCATGTAGCCTTCCCGTTCTGTACACACAGATAGCTCGTCCCCTTACAGTTATGAGAAGACTTCCAGCCCAGACTGTTCTTGGGATCACACTTCCCCTTATACTTTGCTTCGCCTTCTTAATCTTAGCACAGTTTGAGCAGTGACTAGGGGCGAGGGGGTTGATCGCATCGGCATCGGTCTTGTCTTGGATATTACTATCCTCATCATCGTCCAGGGTATATGTGGTGACGGTCTCCCATTCCTCGTTTGTATCTCGTGCTTCGAGATTATTCGCGGCGTCATTAGTTGACACCTCACGGAGCTCGAGACTTTTGATTTTGTTTGGGTCACATTGCGGCTTCGCTACGGCGGCGATTGTGAGGACGAGCAGGGCTGTGTAGTATACTGGAAACTTTAGAAGCATTTTGCCAGAGTATTCCTGCGCCAGAAATCAGCCCTTTGCGTGCTTGATGGGTGATAGATAGTAGATCAGTTCCAGCATCATAGGGCAGGAAGAGGGAAAATGCAACGAACAGAGGGAATATGAATATGAAAATAGCGAAGAAAGGAAAAAAGGAATAAAATAAGGGTAGAAGCCTTGGGAGAAGGAGACTGGGAAGGTAAGGGCATACCGTCCAGATATGGTGGCTATTGTCCAACAATAGATATCTATACAAGACGAGAAGCAACAATTAACTTGAAACGTAACCTGTCTCTACGAAGGATTGGCACCACCCCGAGATTATTGTCGCATTATTTATATTCTTCACACTCCAGAATGCTCACAGGCTGACCCAACTAGTACCAAAGTCCCCCTCGCTCTCTATCAGACATGCCACATCCTGGATGTTTTCTAGCCTCGACCAGTCATACCCATTGGATTGTGCGGAGAGAGCGACTGCTACGGTAAATCAAACTGGCCAAGGGTTGAGTCTAGACTGTATCTCTGAGTCTATTCACACTGAAAGCTTTCCCTCAAGCTAAACTGTCCAATAATGCGGATGCGATGCTGCTGTTGGTTGCTGTCATGCAGAGCTAAGAATGGGCCTGGAATCGTTGTCCTCTGCTATCAACTCTGGAAACAAGGAAAGAAACAGTTGTTTGTCAATATTGAGACAGCAAGAGTCGTGGGGTCAAACAGGAGCTTGGCGGGCTTGGGTTACATCGAGCACTTCGAGGCTGCTGGGGCTGAAGACTCGTTGAAACACAGCGAATGACAACTGTATAAAGAGTGTCTTACATGCAGGTGGAGTACCTAACATCGAATAATGGCTGTTCTGTATCCGCCCTAGCATGGAGAGGAATTGGAGGACCTACCTATGGGTAGAAACCATTCATGCAGGGTGTGACAGAGGTAGGAATATCATTCTGTAATCCGCGCATATTGATCTACTAGCTGACTTCATAAGTAGAAGTCAGTCAGCCTCGAACATACGCTGATCACCCGACCACTAATAAGAGGGTGTATTATACATCTTTGAGGGGGGAGTGTCAGCACAAGCATGCTTAGTGCAGAAAGGGGTGGCCTTCCGCTGCAGAACATCCAAAGCGGGATCCTATAGCTCTGGTGGCTATGATTGACGATGCCGATTGGATGCTGCACTCTTGGACACGAATGCATACAGAAAAGTCTGTAGATGCCAGGGTCTACCAGCCTGCTATTTCTCTGCCGGTAAGATGTCTGATGATCCTACATCCCATCAACTACGAAGGAGGATGGCATGACAAACGATAGCCCTCCTTGAACATCCATGGGGATGTTTGTCCCCCCTGTCATTGTCAAGGAAAAGGCGCATTCTTACATGCGTCACTAAAAAGGTATATACGTAATACGACAGCATGTCAGCTGGCCGGTAGGCGTCTCGCCTTCTACAATATTCAACTTGTGACCCTTGAGGGGCTTCGTTGGGAGGTGCTGTCCATTTTCTGATTATGGAAAATAGTATAGCCAGTTTCTTACTGACTATAGGCCCCTCCTGGATTGACACTAGATAGAGGTATCTACCTGATCTATAGTCCTTATAAGGACTTCAATATCAAAATCTAATGTCACCTTCTTAATGCTATGAATATCGAGTCGGAGAAGACCCCCGGGGGATACATCCCAGCGGCTCCAAAAACTGCGACGGTGGCTGCCCATCTGTGACTGAGATTCGAGTGCATTTTACTAATCAAAGACTTGGAACTCTTGTATTGTAAAAGTCTTCACGGTGTCCGCCAGACTGTGCAATGTGTCTACTATATCTAGCCAAAACTCACAGAATTATCGAGTTTTGAGTATTGGCGTCTTTGAGGGGACTTCTCTTGTTCGATACCATGTTTCCGTTAGAATACATCTACATGTAGGGTTGAGATCGTCTTTTTGAATTCTCTATTGCTCTTATATACAGGATATTCATAGAACAAGATTGAACCCACTACATTATCAACTTAAGTATTCCACTTGGGGCGCCGAAGTGTTATGAAACATCTCTGTCAGACTGTAAGGGCCAATGCTATGGTTAATTGCCCTGTATCAAGCATCATGGTATCAATTGCGTATCCCCTTTTCAGTAACCAGAGAGAGACCATCGCGATAGGCATTTTATCCATTCCATATACATGACCGTCACGTCGCCGTGGTGGAGGCGAAAGCATACTTAACACAGGTTTCAGGATAGATCACACAACAACGGTAATACATTTGTAAATACAGCGAGATCTTTTGACGACCGGAACTTTCCAAAATCTGTGATAAGTCCTCTAAACATAACCGAGTGCATTTGCGCTCGTACTCTGCGAGCTGAATCAACTGCGCCCCCACATCACCACCTGCCTCGAGGCTTTGAGGGGACGAGAATTCGGGAAAATTGACTGAGTTGAGGTTTGATGAGAGGCGGTCTCGCTCAATGCTACCGAAGTCATTCCAAAGCCTGTGTTCCACGGATATGTGCCGCCATAACTTCTCGGCGAGGTACTTTTCTTTGGCGGTAGTGAAGACGTCCTCACCATTCCCAATCTTACAAAGAAGCGATTTGGAAACAAGTGAGCTCTTGACGTCATAAATAGCACATGTATGTAGCCAGGTATAGAATGTCTGACCTGTACTGACAACAACACGCCCTGTGTCAGAATTTCCAAGGTCATTGTTGAGTGATCTACGCGCTTTCGCTTGTTGTGTCGCAGTCAAACTCGCCATCTTCAATTCTTGTTGCAGGTTGCGCCTATCATAAGGACTAGCATTCGCCTGGAGGTTGTCATCTAAAACAAAACGGAACCAAGTTCCTATATCTTGTTGTACCCTCTTGAGACGAACGAGGGTTGCCTCATCTATATTGGAGATACTCGTTCTAGACGAAGGTTCGTGGACAGAGCTATCTTTGCAAAGATCGGCTTCATGGCACAGTTCATCAATATAGTCGACTATAATGCCGGTGGTAGAATCCGGTAGATTCCCCAAGGACCTTTCCATCAAATCGTCTTCTTGGAATATACCAATGGAAAGCTCTACCATGCTGTAGATTATCCGTGTACTTAGGAGATACTCGGGGCTTGAATTGTTGGCCATTGTCCAGAAGCAGGCGGCATATTTAATGTATTGCTCTCCGAGGGCTTTTCCGGTGGAAAATACATCCAGCGTCTTTAACCTGTAGCTGAAGAGAATTGCTTCTATAACTGAAGCTTGTATAACCCACTCGGGTGTCTCCATCTGAGATGGCAATTGAGCAAAGTAATCTGTCATCTTGCGAACCATTGTAGTTGAAATGTCTCCAAACTGATGAGGTATTTCGGCAAGTCTGTCGAAAGTGCCGGTAGACTTCACAGCAGCCACGATGTAGGAGTCTGACACAGTCGGTATGGCATACAAGGTTTTGTCCAGCCAAAGTAGGTCGTCTGTCGGTGACCGTTGGCCTTTCGTCAGAATGAATTGGACACCTTTGCTAATGGCGTTTTTAACCTCGGCTGATATCACGTCTGTGAAGCTAAAAGACGCCACCTTTTTCAGGATCAGGAGCGCATAGGCTGTCTCTTCAGCCGAGCCCGAGCTTCCCCAGGATCCATCTTGATTTTGGGTGCGCAATGTTCGGAATAGGGATTGAAATAATGTGATCGGGAGTTGAAATTTCATAAGATCGTCGGGTAATGCGGCCAAGTGCCCTTCACTCCAGCGCTGGATATAGGACATCAAGGCTTCGCATATTAGCATTGTCGGGTAATAGGGTGAGATGTTCTAAAATCCTTAGAGCCAAGTAGATGTTTCCCAATATTCCAGTTCCACATACCCATTTGTCCGTTACCATTCGGTCACAGTGAAACCATGCCTCGCACAGGTAGCGAATACATTTTTCAATCTGTGGTTGGTAGCGCCCATCCGTGGAAAGTAACATCAGAGCAGTGAGAACGTTAGCATTGGTACTTATGCTAGTATGGGCCTCGTATAGATATGTTACAAAATGACTTTCTCGTTCAAATCGGTCGATCAATGCCTGTGGTGAGTATCGTGCTCCCTGAAGCACAAGGGCTGCTAAGGCCTTGGCTGTGTCATCGGCGTCAGGACATGCCTTCGGGACTGTTCACAGTATGTTAGCGAAAGGAGCCAAAGTCTAGATTGACGGCACTCTACCAAACCCCACTAGTCCATGTAGCTCAATTTCGCTTTCGATCTGCTTGCCAACTTCTTTAAGACTGCTACTTGGCTCAATGCCATGGCGCATCAAGTTCGTTGTCACCTTCCTGGATTAGAATTTCCATCAATGTTAACGAAGCAAATTGAACGTACCCATGCCCATTCAAATACCGTGGTTGGAAATCCTGCAGCCACAAGCCCTGATCCATGGCCAGCTCCATTGGATATTGCACAGTTAATGTATTCCTCGGCCTCACCATCCCAAACAGAATTATGCATCAGATACGCTGCTGTCGCAGATGGAGATGCCAACATGCTGCCAAGAACTTTATAATGGGACAGCCCTTTGAAGTCAATCTTTCCAATCAAAGCTTCCAACGAATGCAGAAGTGAGGTTTGTTGGCCGCTGAAAATGGTATCGAAGTTGATCTTTGAAAGTTTCTTCGATTGGAGCTGGGTCAAATATGTTCGATCAAAGTCGAATGTGTGTCCCTCCGCTTCCAGGAGATCCAACAATGCCGGTAACCGAAGCTCTAGACTAACGGGCAAAGTACATGCTGTTAGCAAGTCGTTCAGCCCTTTCAAAGCAGTATCTAGAAATGCCTTCGCCTTGAGGATTCGTGTGTTGAGGTCTTGACGGGCTATGCCACAGGAGTCCCTCGCATGTATTTGCAGTGCAAGGAGAGCTGCTAATGTGCTGGCAATGGAGTCCAATTCAGAAGTGGTTTCACCCCAACTACCACGATGGCTTTGTCGCTGACGAAGTGCCTGAAAGGCAGCTGGAAACGCCCAGACAGTGTTACCTGGGGTCGGCTTTCTGACCATTGAAATCCATGCAGTATCGTATTCATTCCCAGACATTGTACCCAGTCCGTAGGTTGGATGGTAACCCCTATCCAAGCTCTCAAACAAGCTTCGTTCCCTCATATCGACAAACACAGCCAGTGGATTGTCACTCATATTGCTTGATGGATACCCAAATGTTGAATAAACGGAAACTATACTTGAATGGCTGATGAGGTTGGAATGGGCCCAGAAACGCCTGGTTTCGGCCACATCTTAAATAACGATTACAAGCATGCGTCCACCTCGTCGGGATTAGAAGACATGTGCGCCCTTCAGTAGGCTATCTACGTAATACATCACCGCGGTATTGGGCTAAGAGTGACCTATGGAGTCTCTTGGATACGAGCTGCTCATAAGTCCCATGCCGGTTGGGAGTTTGCCTATTCTGGAACTGTTACCAGGCGTTCTTCGGCTGCACCCGGTATCCCAAATGCCAGGAGTTAGCAACAGGGGTTTGCCACTGCTTGAGTTTGACGGTAGGACAATGTTTTAATACCAAACTACCGGGGGAACCTACATACGTGTATTACATCCGGAGGTTATACTTTTGCCTGGACAATGCACATACCTCCCTACACCTATCTTATCGCCATCACTGCTTGTAGAAGTTGGTGGTGTTGCAGTGAGAGAGTTCCCTCATAGCTGCTTGTGCCTTGTTGGACATACACAAGATCAGGTCTAGGTACACTAGTTTGTTTGGCTGTATTCATCAATCAGTTGATCGAGATTATATTGACCTGATAGCCTAACTATTGAAAAGTCGTAACTATGTCAGAGATCACCTAGTGATTCGGCCCAGAGACTATATCGTCCGTTGCAGGAAGGATCCTGGTTCCGCATACATTATACCTGGTCCTCTCTGCATGATCAATGCCACTCGAAAGGATGCTCTCATGAGCACATGGTCTCGTTTTCAATTCCCTCGGTTATAAAACGATCGGTATTGAATAATAGTGCTCGGTGTTACAAGTCACTCTATGGGTCGTTGACCAGCTCTTGGTTATTGTGGTGTAAGGATCTCAACACTTACTTTGATAAAGTTATTTTATTTTGTTTTTCGTATTCTTCTTTTATTTGTCTAGGCTTTAGTACTGCTCAGCCGAAAGTTCCTCGGCCTGGGTATAATGTCTAGCACGAAGGACCGCACTGTACAATGTTATGTACCGTAGACTAGCAGTAGTACCTTAGGTTGTGAAACCCATATAATACGTATGCTTCCTCATTTCTCCGTCCTACAACTTGCAAATGTTCCCGAAATCATGGGTCTCATTACGGCCACCACCGTTTTGGCTTCCGTCAAGGAGCACTTCATTATCTCTATCATACTGCTCTTCTCTGTCGCTTTGATTGTGCGGTCGATTTATCGTCTATACTTTGACCCACTCCATCATATACCAGGTCCTAAGCTTGCAGCAGTCACTCATCTCTACGAGTTCTATCACGATGTCATCCGCGGTGGATTGTTCATTTGGGAAATCGAAAAGATGCATCAGGTCTATGGTATTGCCAGCAGCTGAATAACCGCACTGCATCCTTACCATTGTATAGGCCCCATCGTACGGATCAACCCCCGTGAAGTCCACATAAAAGATCCGTATTTCTATGACGAACTCTATGCTCCAGCCCACGGGATACGAGACAAAGATGCCAAATCCGTCGAGATATTCAGTTCCCCCACCGCGTTGGTTTCAACAGTTAGCCATCATAAGCATCGCATGCGCCGGAAACTGCTCACATCCTTCTTTTCAAGACGGTCGATCGAGAAGATTGAGCCTATTATCCACGAGTCGCTTTCGAGGTTCTTAGATAGCCTTATTACAGCGTACAAGGAAGACTCCGTCGTAGAGCTCATCGACAGACTCCAAGCGTTGACAGGCGACGTCATCACACAATATGCCTATGGAGAGAGCTATGGGCTCCAAGACCCCGAGAACATCGGAAGGGGCATTGTCAAGGTGGTTCAGGAAGGGACGGCGCAAATCCACCTGCACAGGTTTTTCCCTCTCCTCCAGCGAGTTTTGCGATTAATACCCTCGTGGTTCATGACTCAGGTCTTTCCAGCCCGAGCGGCGATGTACGACCTGCTGGGTGGGGTAAGAAAGAAATCAATAGAGGTTCTTCGGGAGAAGGACACGTCCACATCTCAGAGGATGACCATGTTTCATGCTCTGACAGCTCCAGATGTCCCTCCCGAGGAACGAACGTTGCGACGCCTCGAGGATGAGGGATTGGTCCTGTTTGCTGCCGGCACAGAGACCACAGCGACTACCTTAGGAGTGGCTATATTCCACGTCCTCAGTGATCAATCGACCCTTCTAAAACTTCGTAGAGAGCTTGAACAAGTAATGCCCGCCCCGCAAAACCTGGTGACGTGGCGCCAGCTTGAAAGGTTGCCATATTTAGTATGTATAGTACTTCTCTGCAGTGCTCGTTCCTGGGGTCTTTGTTGATACCTCATTCCACAGAACGGGGTTATTCATGAAGCCTTACGCTTTTCTGGTCTAGCTATGCGGCAACAGAGAGTCTCAACGACGGACGTATTAAAATACAAGGATTGTGATATTCCACCCGGGGTATGTTGTCTCTTGATCAGATCTGGGAATAGCCGGCACTACTGATCAACGAAAGCAGACTCCCGTTAGTATGCTCCAACATTTCATGCATACGGATCCAGAAATCTTTCCTAATCCCAAGAGGTTTCACCCTGAACGTTGGGTGCTCGCGGCCGAGCGCAATGAGGGGCTTTCAAGATTTCTGGTGACATTCGGCAAAGGCACACGGTCCTGTATAGGAATGAAGTAGGTTGAAGTCACTTAATAACCCACTCCGCCCGCTAACTTCACACGCCCCAGCCTGGCTTATGCGGAATTACATACTGCCCTAGCAGCCATTGTCCGTCGATTCGATCTAGAACTATACCAGACGACTGCAGAGGATATACGTTTTGCGCGAGACAAACTACTTCCACGGGCCAAGGATGGACCCTGGAGAATCCGAGTGAAAATTGTTGGTATCCGTAAAGAATAGTACCGAGTGATTATGAATGCAACATGGTTAGTGTTGCTGAAAGGTCATTCTCTATGTTGTACACCCTTGGCATTGCGTGTTGAGGGAGGACCTGATTGAGAGCATTTATCCCCCTATATTTCGTAGATAGATTAGAAGAATGGGTATTTTAGTACTATCATCATCATCATCATTATTATTATTATTATCCATCCGAAAAGTTGAATTCTATCTACACGGAGAATATCAGATTATATGGAAAACAGTCTTGTTCATGTGAATACATAACAAAGGGCTATACGCACCCAGCATCCCCTGGAAATCAATCCCTCCTAACCCTGGAAACATTACGAGGACGGTAAAACCTGTGAGGAAAGGACATGCTAAGGCAAAAGCGAAGAGAAACTGAGACATTATCCCATGACCAGCTCGGTAACCACTCCCCAAAGCGCACATCAGCACGCTGCACTGTCTGTAATATCTCCGGTCAAGAATATCAAGTTGTCCTACTCAGCAGTTCCACAAATCCAACATCTCACTGTGTAATTCATTCTCATTCGATGGTCGGCCCGGCTCTAACATCGAAATGGACATATTGTTCTCAAAGAGAAGTCCGGTGAACTGGTGGTGTAGCTCCATCACATCTACGTGGGTGGCGGTTGTCACACGAAGTCTACACCATAGTCCAGGGACCAGAGCTTCCAGCAAGATCGAATTTGGCAGGACCCGGATCCTCGAATGCCGATTATTTAATAATTAATACCTGTGATGGTAAATAGCGGTGAGAAGATCACCACCAAGACTCATTAGATTCAACAGAGTAGCTCAAGTTTAGGGAAGATTCAAGGTCGACTTCTGTCGGGTCAATTTTGAAGTTCGAGAAGTCTAGGAATCAACCCTAGCTGAGCGAATCTTCCACCTTTGCGTCTCTAATATATTCAATTTCTTTTATATTTTCATAACGCATTCCGAGATCATAAATACCTCAGGTTGGTCGAACTTTCGATCAATTATTGGTCCAATGGCTTGATTTGAAATATAAATAGTAATCTAACTTAGAATGACCATGGGAACTCTATCCACAACTGCCCGTGTCTTCTGGACAATACCTCTCCGTCTATTTTGATTATCACCAACCCCAACCAGACCATGGGCCAAACCGCCTCGGTTCCCAAGCCAGGGACCCAGATCCAAGTGATCGGTGCCGGACTACCCCGTACTGGCACTGCATCCTTCAGCACTGCCTTGGCCATCCTTCTCGATGGCCCTGTCTACCATGGCGGCACCCAGATTACCCGCGGCTCGCCTTGCGAGTTGAAATCATGGATTCGCATCCTCCGTGCATGGCTGGAGGGCGATAGGGCCACAGTCTTGTCCCTCATCAAGGTTCGACTTAATGGCTATGCAGCTATCACCGACACTCCAGGCTGTCAGCTCCTTCCAGAGCTACTCCAGCTCTACCCGGATGCCAAGGTCATCTGTACTGTACGAGACCCCATCGCCTGGGGGAAGAGCATGAAACAGCTCCATAGCTATACACGCCTGTGGCTCCTAAAGGCTCTCCTCCTTCACTACCGGGGATGAGACATTTTGTAGATTATAGTTGGTTGGTGCGCCTGCAGTGGAGCAATCTGTATGCGGATGGTCGGCGGTTTAACTCGGAGAAGGAGGTGAGCGATACCATTCCCCAGGGGGTGATCTATTCCAGGCATGTGGCTTGGCTGCAGGAGAATGTCCCCGCCGAGCAACTGGTATTTTTTGATGTTCGAGAGGGTTGGGAGCCGCTGTGTAAATCGCTGCGCAAGGATGTCCTTACCGATATACCCTTCCCGCATGTCAATGATTCCGAGGGGGTCGCCCGCACTGCGAGGTATCATGCCCAACAGGCCTTGATCCGGTGGGCGGCGATCTTTGCTATCGCTGGAATTGCTATTACAGGCTTTATGAGGCTATGATGAAGCGGTATTAAGGTAAACTCAAATATTCTGGGAGATATTGGCAAACCATTTTATCCATTATTCTGCTTTACTACAGTGCCTATCAAGCCAGGACGATGTAGGCGAGACGCAACATATCAGGCTCTGATGTATTATTAGTGTTTTATTTCTATGTTATTGCGGCTGTAAGGGCTGAAGTATGTCATTTGGGTGACGGCTCTGGATTTGTCTTGGTAGCGAGTTGAATGTACTCGTTCAAGAGCATTCTACTTGCTCATGATTATACTCGATCAGGAACACTATATTGGTTTCTTTATTGGGAAATAGCGTGCAAGCCACGTCAGCCTGGCTGCAGCCTTCTGATAGAGTGCGCAATTCGAGGGGAATGCACCCATTAAGAATGACAGGTCTACTGTCAAGCGCACACGACGACATGGCCAGCCCAGGCTCGCAACAAGGCTCCTGCAACCCAGCGCAGAAGGCTGCACTTGTGTCTCCGTACCAAAAACTGCACTTGGCTATACGTTCTGCTAGTCGCTCATTCTCACCATTTAACCATTCGGGATTGCCAGGATAATGGTCTGTATATTATGGAAGATATGCCCGTAAGAGTTGCCGCAAGATGACGGCGAACGGAGACCCGTGAGAGGAACTGAGGGCTGCAATTACCATGGTGCTAAATTCTTGGTTGCGGACATGCCGTGATTGAAAAATTGCTCGGGGATTCCAACCCCTTGCATATGGCACAGGAGCAGGACATCTTCGCGTCCTCTACTAATACACGCCAGGCCCAAGACATGTTAGCTTTCTGCAACCCTAGATCATACTAAACATACTTCAAATTTAACTAAAAGCTGCTATCCTGACATCAATATGTCTTCTAGGGCAATTCGTCTGAAGGAAGAAACCCCTTATGCCGTGGGTTGGCGCTTTACTGTTTAGTCACATAGGCCTTCTGGGCCTACACCAGTCTTCGAGAACAGTTGTTGCAACACCGTCGCTGACAGGCTGGAAAAGGAGCAGCTTAGCCCAATTGAACGATGCCTACGCCACCCCCCACTTCCAGGTTGTGATGAACCAGATGAAGTCGACTTAGTCATTATCGATGTGATACAAGTGGGAGACCAACGCAATGCCCAGGTGTTGATTGTTGAGGCCTTGGGAGATATCCAAGGCCTGGACGAAAGCAGTTGCCAAATTTTACGACCCGCTTTACTTCGACGATGATGAAAGTTTCCTTAATCCTTTCTCTTGCGTGGACAAGCATTACACCCACGAGACAGCTACATATAAGGCACTCTCCGATTGCATGGGCAAGCAGATACCAGAATTCTACGGCTCTTTTTCCTTGTTTATATCGGTTGATCAGTTTCGTGCACGGATCGTCCGGTTAATTCTTATTGAGTTTGTGCCTGGGTTAACAATGCTCGATGCTGACCCAGCTTACTATGACGCCTCCTCGCGTCAACGGATCCTGAGGTCAGCGATTGATTTTGAAAGTCAGGTATATGAGAATGATATCTTACTCATAGACTTTAAACGGAGAAATATTATTCTGGTCGACGATGCATATGCAAACATAGATCGGAAAGTAGTCGTCATCGACTTTGGTGGAGCTCTCTTTGGGCGCACAAGGGACGACGCTGCCCATTTCAGAAATCGCCTATTTCTGGGGACCTATATATCACCTCTACTACGTTGGGAGTCATTCCCTATGGAGTTCGAGCGTTGGGTCAGCTGGAATTGGCAAGACTGGGTGGAGGAGACATATGGTGATACGAGGGAGTCGATAACCCCGGAAATGCGGAACGTCTTCTCCAAATCGCTCTAGATGCAATCTCGTCCAAGCTCATACCGTCAATGAAAGTCTTCTCGATCTGTAGAGGCTACGGCCAATTCAAAATGTACATTAGCGTGGCTTCTTGCCGTGGTCGTTCCCGGTGGGGTCCTAAGGGGCGAAGGTGGCACATAGTGTGTGTCGGTCACCTTCCAGTAGAGATCTTATGCATGAATGTGCAGGCTGATGAATCTACAAAGGGCATGGCATTTGGAACGGCCTTGGCAGGGTCCACCAAGGGCGAATTTGCGGGGTTTGGCGGGGACTTCCGAACGCTTCGGACTGGACGAAATGAGTCCCTGATATTTCTATTACTAACTCAGCCACTGAAACGGGGGGGTTTAAAACCCTTCAACAATCCGGTTCCTGCCTCCGTCTCCCTTGCATTCATGTCATAAGTCGATATTCTGCTGAGTATATACATCGGCGTAGCTTCGGTTCCAGTGATAAACGCTGTTTGGTGATCACTCAGGTACTCTGGACATGTACATACCTCCATACGGTGCAATAGCTAACGGTTGCAGGCTCAAACTCAACACTTAAAGAAGGAACTTTATCCCGTCCATATCGCATACTCGCCCTTGCAGAGTTCCAAAATAAAGCAGTATGGTCTCCGCCTCCGACATCGGTTATTTGCGCCGTTGCGTAGAGCTAGCCCGTGAAGCCCTTGAAGCGGGCGATTCCCCATTCGGGTCCGTGCTGGTGGATGCCGCCGGCAAGATTATCAAAGAGGATCGCAATCAGACCGTGACTCAGGCAGATGTCACCTGGCATCCGGAGTTCACACTCGTCCAGTGGGCCCAGAAGAACCTGACTCCGACGGAGCGCGCGGCTGCCACGGTCTACACGTCTGGCGAGCATTGCCCGATGTGCACCGCTGCTCATGCGAACGCCGGCTTGGGGCGGATCGTATACGCCAGTTCTACTGCTCAACTTGTGCGCTGGAGGACGGAGCTGGGTATAAAGGCTGGCCCGGTTGCCCCGTTGTCCATCAATCAGGTGGCACCGGGGTTATCTGTTGATGGCCCGGCTCCGGGGCTGGATGAGGAGGTTCGTGGGTTGCATCAGGAAAAGCAGGCTAGAACTGTATCATAAGGACTGGACTAGCCTATAATAGAAACAGCCACTACCCCGCGGGTTGATATGTTTTATGCCATTCGTGGAATGAACATTTCCATTGTTGTATGCTTTCCAGCCATGCTCCCAACTAGCATCGGTGGTACCCCTAGGAATTAAATTAGGTGAGATATGGACTTTATATACAATCGCCACATAAGGCATTTCAACATTACATCGCGTGCCATCACTGTAGCTCATATCTCCTACCCTGATGCCTGGATTCCCCAGGGACTTCAGCTGCGGGTTGTTGTTGTGGCGGCGGTGGCGGCTGGGAGATATATGGCTTCAGGAGGACGGTAGAATTGCCCGAAAGATAGCCCGGGTTTGTGCTCAACTTATGGCGTCGCGCGACCCGGCGACGGAAATACCATATCACGGCCCCAAGGACGAGTACAAAAGCACATCCGAGTCCCACGCCCACGCCGACTCCTACCGTTGCCTGAGGTGATAGCCCACCCCCGCTAGTTGTGCCTGAGGATGCTGTCGGTGATGCTGAACTAGGAGTCGTGGTTATCGAGGTGCTGAGTGAGAGCGTCGGCGATGTCATGGTTGTCGTCCCTTTTGTTGCAGAAGAAGAGGCCGTTGTAGTAGGATCCGCGTCGTTATTCGTGATATTGAAATAATGGCTGGCGAACAGATTCGCGCTATTGAGATCATTTGCGTCTCGGATCTGAAAGAAGAAGACATTTCCGTCCTTGAGGTTTCGTTGAGTTGAGACCACCCAGTTGTATGTTGTTACCCCGGATAAATTTGCTATTGACATCAGTCAGCGAATGTGAATCTTGGGATGGTAAGGTAGTTGCAGCGTTCATCGCGTACTTTGAAGCCACTCGTAGTCTGGGTTGTCATTCTGCCACAACATCAAGGAAAGATATTCGAGGCTGGTGGCCCATCGCAACTGCACTGTCTGGCCGAGTTCATACACCGGGTTATCCTTATAAACATGAATCGGGCCACCGGTTGGGGGATTATAGAAGATCCCTGGTTCGGCGGCAACGGGAGAGTAGACCAAAATGGCCAGTGCGAACCATAGCCTCAACATATCCTAAACCCCTCACAGGAAACCAAGAGACACCAGGACGACCAGAGGAGGCTGGCTTTCGTCGTTAACGTGGTAAGGTCAAGAATCCAGGGTATGATCGGAGAGATATTTGGCGAGAGCCATGATTCGACGGGCAGGGTTGGGCTTTTCATAAGGCTCCGGTTGCCCTAGCTGCGCTTAGTCCTGGTCTGATACTAATATAGCGTGGCAGGCTAACACACATTTAATGATACAAACCCTGGTACGGGTTTCTATTCTTCGCTACGCATGCCATCCCCCGGCCGTGTGCTCGCAGAAGGTAGAGCTCCATGGCCCTCGGTAGATATGGATGATTGAAGGGATATGCTCATTGAAGTCCACTGAGACCTATTTCTTTTATTGCCTTATCTCTTCGTCCGGAATTCCCTAAGCCAGGGGCAACACAGAGGCGACTCTTGATGTCCGAAAGGATGTTCAAGCCTAGGCCCTAGGGTCACACCAAACCTCCGTACTAAAAACTCGGTTCCCCAGCAAGCGCCAAGACGAGGGATTCTATTGGTTCCAACCCCTGTAACTAATATCGGTAGCGCTGGGATTTTCGTGGTTCTTATGCAACAAGGCTGCGCCGCAATATTGACCCTGAACGATTCGTTCTTCTCACGCACACTAAGGATTGCGGAGTTGGATGTCACGTTCTTCCGACATGAATTAAATTCCGTTCGACTACCCAAGCGCTACATTCGAACACATGCCTTCCTATACATTAATTAAAATAATTGAGGCAGAAAGCAATGTTTTTAGCGACACGCCAGTTGCTTTTTCTAGGAACAGCCGCGAGTCTTCTGCTGCTACTGTGGTACACGCAGAGAATCTTTGTATCCCGCGATCGAGAGACTTGGACGGTCTCACGGCCAGCCCCAACACCGACACCAACACCAACGCCAGTTGAGCTGGTCTCAACTGCTCCTAAGTCTCCCGTACAGAGTGCAGGCAATAGCACATTAGGTGTGAGTGCGCTGCCTCCAGGGACATCTTTCAGTCACAACGTGTTGATAACAAATAGTTTCAATCCATCCTCACCCTTTCCACTGGCCCCTCATGGAGAACAAGAGGATTACTAGCCGCAGCAAATCTTACGGGGTTGGATATTCAGATCCCACCCCAGCCACCGATCCATCCGAATCTCGTCCATGCTTTCGAGCACTTGGGGCCCGACGATGTCCAACACCCAAGCCATGGTGCCAGTATCGCCTGGCTGGCGCATCTTGATTTGATCAAACACACCATTCAAGCAGGCCTCGATACAGTCCTTATCATTGAAGACGACGTCGACTGGGACGTGTCCATCCGGTCGCAGATGGTCCAAATTGCGGAAAGTGTACGCAACCTAACCCACGTCGACGATCTTGACCAGGATCCCGCACCGTACGGGCGAGACTGGGAAGTCCTCTGGATCGGCCATTGCGGCGAGTACTGGGAAGAGCAGTTCGAAACGATTCTATATGACGATCCCACTGCGTGCCCCCACAGTGACTATTTCGGCTGGGCAAAGCCGTACATCGACCGTTTGCCGGATCGCCAACGCGCCGTATACCGGTCCTTTAATCCCGTGTGTTCATTTGCATATGCCTTGTCCCGAGAGGGCTCTCGGAAAGTGTTAGAACTGCTGGGCGGGGCGCAGGATGAGGCCTTCGATGTGAGTATGATGCATGCTTGTAAGGCGGGCCATCTTAAATGTATTTCGGTTGTGCCCGAGGTCGTTCACCAGTACTTTCCGGCCCAGTCGTTTGGTGTGAAGAGTGCGGTGGATATTGGCAATGGTCAAGAGCCGGGTCCGGAGGAAGCAGAATTTGAACATGTAATGGGCGCGACGGAGAATATTCTTGACAGCGCACGGTGTCGTGCGTTATGGGGCCAGCCGTGCTTGAGGACGGAGTGATGTAGATAATACTCTTATCATGTAGTATAATACAAGATTGTGTGATACCCTCACGTACACACAAGTGGCGGGCAACGGTCACGGTGGGTAATTTAGTATCAACTCAACCCCGCATTTTGCTTGATAGCCGAGCCGAAAAGCAACGTCTTTCATCATTTCATATCGGATAACCTGAACACCAACACGCATCTCTCACGAGAATACCAAACAGAAACAGCATATCCAAGATGTCCAATGCACCAAATACTGCCGGCAATGAGAGATTCAATGCCGAAGCAGCAAACTGGGACAATAACCCCTCCGTCCAAGAGGCGACTCGCCTCGCATACGAGACACTCCGACCGCTCATTGAGAATCTGTCGGGGGAGAAACAAGCCGCGACAGGAACCGGCGTAGATGTTCTCGAGGTCGGCTGTGGAACAGGCCTGTTGAGTGTGCGGGTAGCACCGCTGGTCCGCGAGATTGTCGCCGTTGACACTGCAGAGGGCATGATCGAGATGCTGAGGATGAAGACGACCCAGCCTGGCTCTCCACAAAATATTGTGCCTGTTTGCAAGTTGCTAGAAGACCCCGAGGATCCTGTTCTTCCTCCCAGTGATGAGGAGCAGCCTGCCGCAGGTCGGAGAAAGTTCGATCTGGCATTGTCGCATCTGGTGCTGCATCATATTCCCGATCTGCGACCTTTTCTCCACATGCTCCTGGGTTGTCTTAAGCCCGGTGGAAGAATAGCTCTGACGGATTTTGAGGACTTTGGTCCCGAGGCGATCAAGTTTCACCCCCAGTCGAAGTTAAAGGGTGTGGAGCGGCACGGCATCCCGCGTCAGTGGATTGAAGACCTGTTGAAGGAGGTTGGCTTCGAGCAAGTCAAGGTATGGGTCGGATGGACGCTGGATAAGGATGTTGAGGGATGGGAGGACGACGATGGAAGCCATGCTGGTGGCAAGAAGACAATGCAGTTTCCCTTTCTTGTGTGCGAAGGAGTGCGTCCATGATATGACCCAGGCCGGTTACGATTTTATCAACGTTGAATCAACTACGTCTGTGACCTTTAGCTGTATGTTTATAAAGCATGTACCATAGTAGAGTTGAAAATAATCCTATGAGCCATGCAAAACCCGTGCAGGTTCCGCTTGATGCCACCATGCTTTAATGCACTTGAAATAAGATGCTGCATGAACCTTGAGTGCCTTAATTTGATTTGTTTTCATCAACAGTAATCGGTAGCACCAGACAGTGTCCTATACCTCTACAGCAAAATGAAGGTCCTGTGTGAGTGACCATTCATCATATCGGCCATAGCATGGTTTTTAATCGCCGAATTGTGGAGACGAAAGAGGCCTGTGCTTGGGTTGCCACGATTACTATTCGTGAAGTGATGGGCGGTGGAGGTTAAATGGTTCCAATCAGGTATAGGACCCCGCCAACATGTGTCACTACGTGGTAACATGTTGAGCTGAGGATATCAATCCATCTACTAGTCCGACAGCTCGAACCTACACTAAAGTCTCGACATATTTACCACGCTAAACCCAATATAGTAACTTCAAGGGAATCCGCGACTTAGGAAGAGTGTTGAAAATGGCCTTTTGGGAAACGTTGATGAATTGAATACTCTGTACTCTCGTTCCCAGACCATTATGACCTCTGAGTATAGAAATAAGTATTTCGTACTCTGTAGCCGAGCAGGCATACTCTTGAAAGTGGAGCTACGTTTTTCCCTCACCAAACACAGATGTTGGCCATATCCGGTTAGTCTATCTACGATCTAGTCAAAACAGAAGTGGGCTCCCGGTCTTTGGGTCAACGTCAAGCAAACGCCGAATAACTCAAATCTGAACGACCCGAGGCTTTCCTCTCGGTGATTGCTAGGACCGTAGATATCCGGTTCTTAGTTGAGGTAATACTGTTTGACGTCGTACGAGGGAAGTCAGAACATAAATACACCTCGCTGGTCTGTCATTGACTGACATTTTCTCTATCCCATCCATATCGATCTAGATCGGAATCCGTCAATCTTCCCTACCCCAAACAAGCGACATAATGACTCTAGCAGGAAGCTGCTTGTGCGGTGCTATTGCATACGCCTCTGACTGTATGTATCATACGTGGTACATATTAACCCCACTACCGCGAAGGCTGTACTAATATCATTCTCAATTTAGCCGAGCCTCTTGTGACGGCTTTGTGCCACTGTGTTGATTGCCAGAAGGTATGTAGGACTGTGACTCAAGACCTCGCTTCTCGCTAGTCCTCTAAATTCTCGATTGAAGTGAATGAAGCGCCGAAATAACCGTTATATCTAGTGGACCGGTGGCGCATTCACGTCCAACGTAATCGTTCCCCGGACTTCTTTCAAAGTGACAAAAGGTACCTAGCCACCCCATCCTCACTTTACCTCACACATACTTGTGGGGCTCTCTTCTCATGTTCGATCATCGTGGCTGAGAATTGCTGCAGGAGAACCCTCGTTCTATGACATCACTGGAGCCTCGGGCAAAAACAATCGCCATTTCTTCTGCAGCAAGTGTGGGTCGAGCTTGTTCACAGAACTAGATCTCATGGCCGACAAGACCGTCATCAAGGCTGGTACCCTGGACGGTGGCGAGGCGAACCTGCGGAACAAGGTCGATGTCGAGTTCTATACCAAAGACCGGGCGTCGTATCTGTGTGCCGTGCAGGGTGCCAAGCAAGAGACACTACTGGGCTGATTGATTTGATGCGCCTGCCCCTGAGGCACAGCGACGAGAAGTTAAATGGAAAGTATTGCTGCATGATGATAACGGCCGTTGGGATGAGTATGACTTTGATAGTTGGTGGCGATGTACATATGATTATGTCATGTAGTAGTATGCACGGTGTTGGTGGGGTTGCAGAGTTCAAGATACCATGAATTGAGGTTGAGGTTAAACAAAACATATGACATTCCACATAATGCTAGTGATCAGCAATATATTTCCTAAAACGTAGATCATTGTGGAAGTACTCCGTAATGACGATCCCGATAAGAGAACCAACGATACATCACATCGAGGAATCTGGTCTAAAGGGCATATGAAGGACAGGTGCGTGGCCTATTGGCCTGGTAATAGGATTCCCCACTACTTTGATCATCCTTCCGCGACGAGCAAATCTTAATATATTGTTATGGCGCGTGGCTGCGTTCAAGTGGCCTACCATCAAAGATATACGCTTGAGTCATGATATCAAAGCTTCGATACCACTCCAAAAAAACAGCAAGACTTCCGATTGGAGCTGTACCATGATGTGACGCCTTTCCTAATAGTTGCCTTATGGTTTGCCTCATGGAAGAATCTGAAGTCTGGCGCTTGCATATGGAGCATGACCACATACATGCAGTAGAGGCATTAGTGCCTAATGTGTGAAGCAGCATGTTGGAATCTCTTCCCACCATTAGCCAATACATCGCCAATTACATATCATCGTTGTACTTGTAGAGCACTCAGAACTCCCCGCTGTGGGTGTCCACTACACACATCCGGCTGCACGAGAGGATGCTGACGGGATCATACGCGCCTTACATACTGCACTCGGTAGCAGCGATAACACCCAATGGCGACCATTGTCCGGCATAACTGTTCCGACTGGGAGCGAAGAATAAACACGCTTGTTGTTCGAAAAAACATCTTCACTTGTAATCCATCGTTCATAGTGGCTATACACGAGTCAAAAGCCAATCAACATCCTCGCAGTTCGAATAATTATTGCTCGTATCTCTAGTGTACCGTGGTTGTGCACATTTTCATATCGAAACCACCAGCGCGTTTGCCGGTGGATATCTGCAGGTTGTTCTCGGCAAACTCAGGAATGGCGCACCCTTGAGCCCTAACAGGCTAGCAGTTGGGGCGTTGGGAAAGGTCGGTATATTCACAAGTGTATGCATTAATCTAGGGAGTTCTTGCGTGCGACCTGTCATAACCAAGGCTCTATTAATGTGATATTACATCATCCAAGCCAATGAGCGTCGCTCAGCCATAACATTCAGAACCACAGTAGCTTGCACTTATGATTGACTCACCCAGTGGAATGCCTTAATCCAAACCAGTAATAAGTACAGTTTGGACGGACACCGTGAGAGGGTAGTCCAATGACGTATCAGATGCCAACAAGGCTGACGACCCCCGGTAGTAGGGCCGGCCACGTCCTGCGGCTCTCAGCTAGTAAGCCTAACTCTATTATTATATTCGCAATTCACTGGGAGTTATTGGTCGGCTGTGTAAGGCCCACAGAGGAAGTGAATCTTGCCTTTTGCCCTGCCTGAGTCATCCCAACTCCGCCATGCTATGTGATACTCTTCTGGCATCATCATACCCCTTGCTCACAATGGCGTTTCTAATATTGAGACTCAGGTGTCCGTCAGATGAAGGACTGTTCACAGCGGTCCCCTGGTTACCCGACAAATAGCCTCGCAAACCCGGGCAACGTGTTGCGGTGTACGATGTCACCGCCAGTACGCCCCAAGGCGCTACTGCGAGGCTATTGAGATGATGCGTGGATCTGCAAACTCAGCCATGCATGATGCCGCCGCCATGCATTTCAAGGCGGGCCAACTCATCAGACCGTGTGGCGATCATCCGGGTTGCCCACCAAAGGGTCTCCACAGACCCTGGATGACAGCCTTAAAATGGAGCATCCGTGCTGCCATCATTCCCAGGTCACGCAAAGTTCTGTACAATATCTCACATAGCCATGTCTAAAGAAATTGATCCATGCGGGTGCGACGACGGTGCACCCACTCGAGAGTTGGTTCTCTGCTTCGATGGCACCGGAAATACCTTCCGTGCGGATGGAAGCGAGACCAATATCCTCAAGATCTTCCGCATGCTGGATCGCACCAAAGATAACAGATGTAAGTGGTATTAGCTTTGCGGCACTGATGAGGATGAGCTAACCCACCTAGATTGTTACTATCAGCGTACGTAGCTATCTTCAATACTCCCTGCAGATCGCAGTCTGACGCACACCAGCTGGAATAGGAATGGACAGTACTGTTACTCCCCGGTCGATGGTAAGCCTAGCATTACAGCCTTTCAGAAATCTCCCCACCGCGGGCATTCTCGACCAAGCTCTGGCAAGATCATTTGACGAACACGTTATCTCGGGCTATCGCTTCCTCGCCCGCCGATGGGTTCCGGGATCCAGAATCTACCTTTTTGGGTTTTCACGAGGCGCATACACAGCTCGTTTTCTGAACGAGATGTTGGACTACGCTGGGCTTATCTCCGCCGATAACGAAGAAACTATTCCATTTGTTTGGAAGGCCTTCCTCAAATACAAGTTTGCGGATTCCGGCCAGGAAAGGGATGACGCGGAAGCGTCTCTGCGACTCAGTCGAGAAACCATGTGTCGGTCTCCAGGACTGGTCCATTTTCTGGGACTTTTTGATACTGTCAACAGTGTTGCCGAGTTTGCCTTAGATATCAGTAAGGACAACGAAATTCAGCCAAGCCCGAAGATCATGCGGCACGCGGTTAGCATCGATGAAAAAAGAATCAAATTCCAGCCCGTGCTATTCGAACCACCGCCCATCGACGGCATGAAGGCAAGGGTCCATCGTGTCAGCACATGGGCGGCAAACGGGGAAGCGACTATCTCGGGGATCCCTAACGCTGCGGTCCAAGGGGACTTTGAGGAGGTGTACTTTGCTGGAGATCACAGTGACGTTGGGGGTGGGTGGCCATCCCAGAAGACAAAGGCTAGCCAGATACCTCTTATGTGGATGGTTCAGGAGGCCGTCAGGGCTGGTCTCACATTTGACCCGATCCAGCTCTCGAAGCATGACTGCTTCGATCCAACGATCGAGGACTACGATCGCGACATTCTTAAAGCTGCCGAACAGGCCGAGATCCATGACTCACTTGGCTACGATTTTGGGAAGGGACTTGAGGTTCTCTTTTGGCGCTTGATGGAGTACATGCCCTTCAAGCGTACCAAAGTCGGACCCGACGGGGAGTTCCATGAGACCCGATGGCACGGCCGTGGCTTGCGAAGACCACTTCCCCCAGCAGCCAAGATCCATTCCAGTGTGTTTCATCGATTGCGTTATGATCGTGATTACAAGCCCTACAATCTGGGAATGGGGAACAAAGACCAGGAACAGAGTGAGCTTGGCCAGTGGAGACGAATCGAGCACGCTCCAACCGAGAACGCTAAGCTCTCTATATACTTCGTGAAATTGCCCAAGAATCGGAAATGAGATACTAACCTGTAGTTGTATATTGTTCATTGTTCTCATTTTACTGTGTACTTTGTTTGCTTTGCTGGACTGTACTCTAAGCGTGTTTTAATGTCGATATCCGCTTTCCTCTTGTTCGTCCTCTCGTTCTTTTTATAGATATTACACCCTCCTTGACTTGCACAATTTCTGCCCGAAAGTCCACACATAGAAATCCATAGACTCTACCTAGGACGTTACTCAGGATATAAGTATATTACACCTCAACCTTTCTCTGGGAATTTTCATGGATCTTCTCGATAACGGTAATCTCTCAGCTCGTTTCAATTCTTGTCCCCCATCTTCATCGGATCCAAGTGAACCCCGTCTTCGAGACTCGGGGGAAATGCGCTGCCAACGTGTCAGGTCGATGATATCATTTAGCATGAAGAGATCCAATCCTATCGCGAGATCTGCGCACATCTGAGTTAATGGACGCAGTCTATATTCTCCACAGTCTGCCCTGTTTTCTCTCTCATCCACCGTTGGGGTTCCTTCCGCGCTCTAGTTTGTTTTGATAACGCCATTTGAGGTCTGAATTGATCTCGAATGTTCTTCGCTGGACGTAATCAACAAGGGAATGCCGGTATCCCCCACAAGGCAACTACATTTCTTGAAGGAATGCGTGCGTCCGGCCCTATTCCGTGTCGTCAATCCCGGGCTCTCCGACCCTAAATTACCGGTGCCCTAAGCCTGGTCAAGTGATCTTTCAGCGACGGATTGCAGGAAGGGGCCAAAAGCACGACAGTTGAGTCTTCCACCAATCTGCGCCTCAACGTTGATGCGCTTCAGCTGTCTAGCGAGACGCCACGGCTGTGGGGGCCAAAAGACGATGCTTGTCGCTGTCAATCCAAAGGCTTGGTTTGAGGCTCTTTCGGAGATTCCCGACATGCCTCGGCGCTTTGATCCTTCATCCAGAGCGGCTTGGAATGGCACCACGACGATGTGTGGGCGTTCATTCTTTGACTGTGTGGAGTATAGGTGCACTAGCAGCTGTTAGCAGGTGTACTATCCCTCAAGTGCATTTATTGCCCGGATAGCCAGGGCACACCTCTACTCTTCGTCGTCTTTGGCCTTTTCTTCTTTTTTTTTTTGTTTTCTTTATCTCTTGGCCAACGACGTCGTGAGCTACTTGCAACCCCGGTTCACGCTGTGGGCCTTCCCATCTCGGTTTTGGGAGCTTATGAAACTATCATGGCCTCTGTGAAAGAGATAGCAGTGTCCAGACAGCGCAGAGCCCAACGGAAACGATCCAAGACGGGCTGCCGAACCTGCCGGTAAGCATACAATTTTGTCCCCGGTACGATGTGCCCGCCCTGACAGCTCGCCGGTACAGTGCTCGTCATATTAAATGCGATGAATCACCCGGTAGCGTATGCCAGAACTGCACGTCGACAGGTCGCATATGCGAGGGATATGATTTGTGCCGGCTGCCTCATAAACGATCAGTTGTATATCTGCCCCACTTTGCAAACCGTCTGTGTTGGATCATGAACTCGGACGAGAAACGATGCTTTTCATATTTCCATCACCACTCAATCTCGAGTTTAGTTTCCTTCTTCGACTCACCATTGTGGGAAAACCTTGTAAGGCAACTCAGTCACACAGAGCCGGCGGTGTATCATGCTGCTAATATGCTGGGTGCCGTTCAAGAAGATTCGGAAGAAAATGGCATGCGTCTGGCAGGCGTGATTCTGCATCGTCCACGGCACCGATTCGCCCTGGAACAGTCTGTACGATCCTTTGCTCTTCTCAATAAACGACATGCGTCTCACGATCCACAATTTAAAGAGGTAACTCTCGTGTGCTGTCTGCTGTTCACACTGTCAGACCTATTATTGGGGCAGTATAATACAGCCTTGCGGCATCTCCGGAGTGGTCTCCAAATTTTAAATGAGGCAGATACTTATACACACTGCTTACCAGCCATAGACCAGTCTCTGGTCGAAGCCTTCGTAAGGCTGGACACACAATCATCGCATTTCGCGACGGATGGGCCGCTCTTGCATCTGAAACGGGACGGAAAGGAGTGGTCCCCCAGCGATACAATTCCGTTGCCTCGCAATGTGCAAGAAGCTCGACGGCAACTAAACCACGTATTATGCAAAGGCATTCCGTTTCTCTCCGAGTGTTGGGTGCTTTCCAGTACGGAGATCAAGCTCAACTATACCTCACTGCGTCGAACACAACAGAGCCTTCTTGCTTCTCTGTCTCAGCACAAACAACGATTAGAACTGTTCTGTAAACAGTCATATGCCAAACTCAGCGCGAAGGAACAACGAGGGGTGGAAATAATCCGACTACACTACCTCGATCAGATCCTGAGTATCAAAACCTGCTTTTTCAACGGCTCAATCCCCGGATACCTGACCCCGGAATACGTGGCCTTGTTGTCCGCCCATGAATCGCTGATGGCAAAATTCCCGGAGCGTTCCACAATCACGTTGGACAATGGCATTATCCCGGGACTATATATCGTAGCATCCAAATGTCCCGACTATCGTGTGCGCTTACGAGCAATCAGAGCGCTCCAGTCCTGGCCGCACTGCGAAGGCTTGATAAATTCCAACATAATTGCTTCTTTGGCTTTTGAGTCTCTCAAACGAGAGCTCATAAAAGTGAACAAGGCCGAGCTCTCCCTCATAGTTGGGGACAACGAAGAAAAATTGGTCCGCTTCTTGTTTGACACCCTAAGTTGCACTAAGCATGCTGCATATTGGTCAGTCGTTAGAGCTTCGAGAATTCTGCAGGATAGGCCTTGAGCCATGAAGGCTGTCCTCGGCATATGCTACCTATTCCTGAAGACATTCACCGGTAATAACAAACTTGAGTCCCTGTCAGCTTTGCAAGGGGAACAATCCTTTGCCGAGGTAGCAAAGCCATGATCGTTTTGCTTCTATAAAATTAATAAGGGCGGATATCCCAATACATGGTACATATTAGCAATCTATTGTCATTAAGATTCTATCCATAACTAGGTGTGGTACATTGTATGACCAGAGGAAAATCACAAACAGGAGAACGAAAGATAGCAAGTCCAGTGTTGCCTACCCTTTGAAAATGTTCGTTAGGCCAAAGTAGCCTCGAACACCGCAGTCTGAACGTCCCCGTCAGACTTCCAAACTTGAGTGACTTTGAAGTCCGCCTTCTCGAGCAGATCAATCCACTGCTCCTCCGTTCGCTCCAGGGCAGAAAAGACCTCCATCATATGGAGATCGAGAGTGGCGGATATAGCGGGAACATTGGCACCTTCGGGCATTACATGCTCGTTGATGAGGAGTATTGAGTCGCTGGCCATCGCCGTCCGGATGTGACGCAGCGCTTCCAGTGCCGCCTTGTCCGGCCAGTCATGCAGTACCGTGCGCATGTAGTAAGCCTTGGCACCTTGGATTGGCTGTCCCTCGAACATGTTGCATTTGACAGCACTGATCCCTTCGGGCAGCGGCTCTTTGATGTCGTCAATGACTTGCGGGAGGTCCTCGAGGATATACTTTCCCGGCAGTTGTGGGAACCGTGCCTTGAGTGCGGTGATATCATGTCCAACACCACCACCGATGTCGACCAAAGCAACTCGCTCCGGAGTTACCTGGAGCTTATCCAGGACTGGATAAATCTCAAACCACTCAACACCACAGTGCCGCTTGCTCTCAGTCATTACTGAGTTAAACACGCTCTGTATCGCAGGTCTCTTGCTTAGCCAGTCGAAGTAATGCTCGTTCGTTTGATAGGCCAGTTGAAAGGGTGCGTCATAAGCATCTGAGGGGTTCTTGTAGTCCCTTTCTTCGAAGTAGTCAAAGAGTTTCGAAGTTATTTGCATATTTGTGTGACTTGTTTCGTTAGGACAAAGCAGATGGAGACAGGCGAGTAGACTTACAAATGCTTAATCATATCACCAGGCACCGATCCAGTTCCGAACAGCATGGCTGTCTGTGAAGGCCGGTATGTTTCGGTGTTGGTTTCCTTGCAGATATCATGGGAGCAAAGGAACCGCATGATACGTTCTAATCCATGTAAGCTTTTTTCCTCTCGACATGAGTCTTTCCAGTCTTGATGGGCACATACTGAGAAGCTCCACGTCCCCTTTCGTTTTTGACGAAAGTTCTGCCAGGGTCATCTCGGCCCCGTTGGATGTGACGAACGCATCAAAGATTCCCATGCCCTGGGCAACCCTGATCCCGGCAATTCCATAATGCTATTTGGGTCAGCACGTATTCAACCACAGAGGGCGGTCGGTAATTTCCTACCGCAAAACAGTGCTTTTGGATAGCATGGACCGGTGTCTCCAGGGCAGCTTGAAGCTGGCCTATCACCCCGAGAAGCTGCATACGGTCCTCATCTTTAATGTTTCCTGGGGTCGGGAGGTTTGCCAGTGCGGACTTGAGAGTGGAAGTAAGGTCAGAGAGCGAGGTTGCCATGGCGGAGGGTATTCAGAGAAGATAGACGTGAAAAGGCTTCGGAATTATAGAAGCGTGTATTATAGGGAAAGCATCCCAGACTGGCCGGGGTATCACTACCTTTATATATGTTTTCAGCCCATAATGATCTTGCCCATTCGTGACACCAAGTTCGGTCCATATCGTCGCTGAGACCGTGAACACCGAACTTCGGGCTAAGAATCCTGGAATACCCCGAGAAGCGGGAATCCTATATACGCGCACACGAATGACAGTCCAGCCTTTCCTATCGCTGTTGGATCGAGATCCACGGACTTATAATGTTCTTAACAAGTCACCTATCATGCTGTAGGCTTTAATATAGAAGGTTTATAGTGCAGAAGACCAAGAATGCCAGCAGAGCCCTCAACATCCGAATATGGTTTAGCTCGATATTGTATACGTATCAGCCAATCAGCGACTGCAGGTCCAACCGCCGAGATTACGTGACAGTCCACGCACAAAAGTCATACGATTCCAAGTCTATATACTAAAATGATCTTGACCCTCGTGTTGACTTTAATGGAAATGGAGGTTCTTTTGTAGGAAAGTCCTGTCCTTACTCGGTGTGGTGAAGTGAAGTTTGTGGTGTTCCACCTACTACCAGTTGGCGACACACCCCAACCATTATATATAATCAAAAGTGTACGAACTCGTCCACAGGCTCATATAATGACCAAGGAACTTGCTCACCAGGTCACTTTGCCTATACACACTAGACGACTGAAGAACGATTCACAGAGTCCGGATGCCTTTCTAAAGTCCGCTCTGTATAACATGAGAACAACCGATGCAATATCGACGAATTATTCGATTATTGATCGCCGTTTTCAGAGTGTCGCACTGTCGCCTGTGTCGAGGGTTTGTTGAGACTAGATCACATTTGATTACATTTGAAACCAGTCAATTCTGTCTTTCCATTGCTTCGTTCCAGTCTGAAAGCCCATCTACAGCTCAACGGTGAACCTTGTTCCGAACCATCGGAGTGGCAAGAATGGATGATGTACGCCAGCCTGGAGATGTGGAGATTCCAGTCCTTATGCAACAATTGAACACAAGGATTCCTACGGTAAATCAGAAACGATTGACGAAAGAGTCCCCACCGCTACCCAGACGCTCCATTATTCTCACTGCCGGGAGACCCGCGTCCCCATACTCGGCTTTTCCGATTACCCCGGATTGTCCATGATCGTCCAATGAGTGCCGAAGAATGTTGGCCTCTACTGCTCTCCAGCCCCTCCTCAACGCCTTCTCTATACCTGTGTTGGTCGGTGTGCAGCGACGATCCATCGCCGGGGGGTTTAAGTACCCGCCCCTCGGCCGGCCCATGCGGACGCTTTTGTTTTCGCTTGTCTTGGAGGTGGATCCAACTCACCTAGGACAAGATGACGGACTCAATCAAGGAATCCATCAGCCACCTCGAGACCGTTGCGGATGAACGGGGGGCTACAGGTTCTCAAGACATGAAAGAGCCAAACGTCGATCCAAACCATCCACAGGTAAGCACGGAAACTGTGAGTTTCACCGGGCGAGCTGACGTCGAGGTGCCTAGAACTGGTCCACAGGAGCGAAATTATCCACATATCTTACCGTCTGCTTCTACACCTTCCTCGGCAATGTCAACGGGAGTAACTTCACGGTCGCGACTCAAGCGGTGATCAAGGAATTCCACGTGTCTCAGACCCAAGCTGGCGAGTTAGTATGCTTTAACGTCTTCCTTCTCGGATTGGGAAATGTCTTCTGGGTGCCCTTGATGCGTGTCGTCGGCAAGCGACCGGTCTATTTATTGTCTATGTTATCCCTCGCAATGATGAACGTCTGGTCTTCTCGCGCGTCGAGCTATGGGGAACTGCTGGCTTCGCGCATCTTATCGGGTTTCGCGTCTGCGGCCGCAGACGCGACAGTGCCGGCGGTCGTGTCCGACATGATCCCACCGCAGGATCGGGGTCATTATCTGATGTTCTTCCATTTGGCCCTGACCGCAGGGCTTTTTATCGGCCCCTTGATCAACGCCTATCTGGTTCAGGAGGAGGACTGGCGATGGATGTGTTACTTTCTCGCCATCGCTACGGCTGTGACATTTGTGACTGCCATCTTTACCGTTCGCGAGACCACGTACCTGAAAAGGAACGCATTCGTCCCTAAACGCAACCTGTGGCAGTGGATGTCTCTAACAGTGGGATATAACCCCGACGCGTCATTCCTTCGAACGGTGTCAGATATCGCGTGTAATGTAGCATACCCACAGCTGCTCTGGGCCGCGTTCGCCATTGGGATCTCGGTCGGATGGTAAGGCCTCTGAATGACCAGTGCACGTCTGTCGCATTTCTCACTGACCTCGACAGGAACATTGTTGTCCAATTAACTGCCTCGCGTACGTTCACCGCAGCCCCTTACAACTGGCCCGCAGGGAGCTTGGGGCTTCTCTCTCTCTCCGGATTCATCGGCTCCGTCTTAGCCTTCTGGCTCGGTGGGCGACTGATCGACATCATCTCCACCCGCTATACAAACCGACAAGGAGGGCCACGTCTGCCGGAGTATCGACTCCCCGCCATCGTTATCCCGGGAGTCATTGGTCCGAGCGGAATTCTGATCTTCGGTCTTTGCATCGCGCATCACACCCACTGGATCGGAGCGGCCTTCGGATATGCCATGCAGGCATTTGGCGTCGCGGCCATCTCCAACGTGGCGGTGACCTACTCCCTGGATTGCTACAGGCCGGTATGCGTTTCGCAATTGCTTAGAACATTCGCTTTTTAGTCCATTCCCCACGCTAATGCGGAACAGATCACCGGCGAAGCTCTGGTCGTTATCTTTACAGTGCGTAATACCATCGGCATGCTGCTGTCCCTTTATGCCGCCGACTGGATCCAGCGCCAGGGCCCCGCCCCGGTCTTTGGGGAGATGATGGCGATCCAGGTCGCTAGCATCCTACTTGCTATCCCGCTGTTCATCTGGGGTAAGCGGTTACGGGCGGTTACGTCTCGGTATGGGCCGATGAAACGATTCCAGGATCAGGTCGAGACGTGAGTATCCAGCGGGGCTGGCACGGAGTTACGGGGTGCAATCTATGAGCAGCTTGGCGCGTTTATTTCACAGCTGCGTATGTAAATGAGGACAATGCATATTTTCGTTTAGACATGAGAAGGCGATGTCGCAAATTTGCGAGGACCAAGCAAGCGAAACAGTAATATCAGATGTTATGAGAGACGCAGTGCAAGTGGATGTGACCAGGCAAAACACGGACGCCGCGGTCCTCGTGGAGACAGCCATCTAGCACTAAGGTCTCTTAGGCCAGAATCCAGCAAAAGAGATACGGTGCAGAGCTTCAGATAAACTAGGGGTACATTTGTGCAGTACGCGTTGCACCCCGCATGAAACAGATCCTGGTGATATTAACCTTTCTCGGCGCATCTAATCCAGGAGGGTTCCTAGTTTCCTAGAAACGTAGAAGCATGGAAGCATAGTAGAGAACTGCACATACGAACTCGGTGGCGAGGCCAGTACGGAACATAATTCCAACACAGTGACAGTTTCAGCACCGTCAAAGGCTAATTTCCCGACCCAGCAAACTACAGGTAGTGGATGGAGGCCGAGACGCCACGCTACCAACATTGCATGAAGTCTATATCAGCTTGGCTTCGGCATTACTCGGCGCCAGTTTTACCGACATGGTGGTCGTCGGTCGTTGATTCAGGAGGGGCTTTAATTTATTTTCGTCAGCATCTTCTTCACGATAAATGCTTGGTCGATTAGTGTGGACCGGTGTACAGGTAGCCGTTGTTGAGCGGAACAGCGACTTTTAGGTACTCGAGAATATGGCTGGCTTGATCTACATCACATCGATCGTCACATCTATACTATCACCCGATGAATGTAATGTGTTCCCTCAGGTAGAGAGAGACCCTGTACCATGCGACATATCCCTCCCAGAAACCGGCGAAGATGGCTCAAGCATGGCAGCAGATATCCGTTTCAAGAATTCTGCACCCTCGCTTAATCGCCGGCTCTTGGAAAGAAACTAGTGAAAGCATAGCAGATTAATTGCCTAATAGTGTAGTTGTTGTGGAGTCTTGAGTGCAGGAGTGGGTGGATCTTGGAGGGCTAATGAAGTGTTTAGCCGAGCCATGGCAAATTTTTCCGGTCCCCAATCTCTGGCTTGGCCCCCAAGATCCATCGTTTTCCAAATGGAATTTCCAATCTGGAGATCTTTCGGGAGAGACAAATTGATCGACAGGAGGGAAGAAACCGTGGCAAAGGAATAATGCAAAACTATGCTTCTACGATTTGCCGACGCGAGTCACTAACCAGGGCTCAGCCTGTCACGCTCGGGTCTCCGACTAATGGTCCCCCCGTCTTTTGCGACATCTCTACCCCGTTAAAGACAACTGTGGCAACTGCACAAGTAAGGGGGACCACCAGTGTGGTGTAGCCCAAGACGCCAAGCGGTCATAGTGGTCGAAGAAAGCCCAGTCGGGCAAAGATGGGACAGACAGCCCACAGCATGTTCATGCGCGCCATTACACTAGGACCAATGCTCGTGGCTAGTTTTGGCTGGTGTTCTCAACTACGAGACTGGGCAGATTGGTCAATCTCGACATTGAAGACCCGGCATTAGCCTCGGCAATACTCTGTAGCCTTAAACCCAAGAAGGCATAATGTTAGAGACAGAGGGAAGGCGTTTTGGAGACCAATATACTCGGACATGTCCGGAATTGGGATTGCAATTCCGCTTCAGCATAGGCACACCTCCGTAAATGGTATGGGGAGATCTCTCGGGTGTACACTGAATCTCCGACCCACGCGTCGAGAGTCTGTCATGAAAGGAGATAAGGTTCAGCTAAGAGAACGTGAGACAGACTTCTGGATAGTCGAAAGAAGCCCATGATTTGAATATCCGACCAGGTGGCCACCGTGATCCCTGTCGTAACACGATAGTGTGTCGATCAAATCCGCTGGGATGCATGGTAAGACACTATCCTGATTTGAGATATCGACAGACGACGCCACCTGCGCGGTGGACGGAGTACAGCAAAAGTATTGACCCGGATAATGGGTATACGACCAGTCCTATTGTTTGCTTGACCCTCCACTTACCGCGCTTTTCACCTACGCCTCAGCCCCCGTTCCAAGAATCCAAGCACCTTGGGATCCACCTTGTGGGCGACAAAATCACGAACGTCCAGTGCTAAATGTCGAGCACTGAATTCCGCACACCCCTATGGCGAGGGTCAAATTGACCCTTGCAGACAGGTACGACGATTTAAACACTGGTGTACCATGGCATGCAGACCTAGAAGGTGTCGGGGAGGAGACGATCACTCGAAAAAGTATGCTCCTAGCGAATAGATTTATCGTCCATTGATGGCAATCCACCTGCAAGCTTCCCCGGACGCCAGTCTTAGACGTCATGAATACTAATCAGAGTTTTCCAAGACCCAGACACATGGCCTCGGACTGCAGTCTAAGCGTATGCTATATTAAAAGTTATCTTTAGTCTGCAGAAGCCAATAGCCTAACCTAGTAGCGGCCAAGGATGAATAAAGGTACCACAAGCGCCCTTCTGCAATAATGTAATTAATATCTTTGCTTCCTTAATTTTACCCATGAATTCAGTCAGAGCTTATCCGTAGCCACCCTTTCGTTTCCCACCATACTGTATAGAGTGCGTCAGTCTCGTCCATATGAAGGATAATCGTTGCAAGTCTCTCCCATAGAGACTGGCCGGACAACATGGTGAACAGCACAATTATCCCGGCGATGTCGCCGCCGCCAGGGAAGGTATCCAACTTTGTTGATCCCCCGTACATTGGTACCAAATTCCTCGTCGTCAATTGCGTCTTTCTCCCAATCGCAGCTATTGCGCTGCTGATCAGGACATGGACACGGTTGTTTATCGTGCGCAGCTTTCGCTGGGATGACTGTGAGTCTCTCTTTCGCACTGACGACGCTCGTCTGCTAACCAAGAGACCAGACCTTATGATCATAGCTCTGGTGCGTTAGTCCTAATGTTCGGTCTACCACGCATCGTGCCAAATCGACTAATGCGACTTTCGCCCTTTGCAGCTTCTATCCGCCGCCATGACCGGAGTCACTTTGGAGAGTAAGGCTACCTCACCATCAATCTCGACGGGGTCAGAATACGGTGGTTAACCGTCGCAAATAGTGTTAAACTGGGGCCTGGGGAGACACATGTGGGACGTTCCCGCCGAATATCTATCACCATGGTTTATGAAGGTACGATCGATTACCGTCGGCATGCACACCAGCCACACTGACGCCCTCTTAAGCTAAACGTGATTGCCGCCATCCTTTACTGCGCCGGCACTGGATTTACGAAAGTTTCTGTTCTTGTCTTCTATATGCGTATCTTTCCCAGTCGCAATTTCCACCTCGCTGTTTGGGCGATCGTGTTCATTGCAGCAGGATACAGTGTGGCCAGCATCCTGGCCAATGTTCTCAGCTGTAGTCCCATTGATAAAGCGTGGTATCCAGCCAAAGCTGGTACCTGCATGAACCGGCCGGTGTTCTATTTCGCCAATGCTGGGCTCGGCATATTTACGGATTTCGCGACGGTTATTGTGCCCATGTGAGTCTTGCCCCCTATCAGTCGCCTAGCTTTCTTTCTGGAGGAAATGCTAACAGAGAGTCCTCTGACAGCCCCTGGTTACGCCGATTGCAGATGCCAATACGCCAAAAGATTGCGGTTAGCTGTATCTTGGCGATGGGATGCTTGTGAGTGATATTCCCCATACTACTGACATTGCGGTAACTCACGGTGTGGTAGTGTTGGCGTCGTCAGTTGTATCCGATTATCGACATTATATACCCTTCTCAAAAGCCCTGATCTTACCTGTAAGTGCCGCCAGTACGGGCATGCCACGGATGATCTCTCGTTAACACGTTTCGCCCTGTAGGGAGCACAACGGACGCCCTGATGTGGTGTACGATCGAGTTAAATCTGGGAATCACCGGTGGCTGCATTACAGCAGTGCGCCCATTCGTTCGTCGCTACTTTCCTCGCCTTCTGGGTCTCTCGTATGGGAATGGCTACAAGTCTGGTTCAACGTCTCGCAAGTACGGCCATCCACTGGGCTCCGTGCCTCGAGCAAACGCGCCCGACTTTTCGAATACTCGCAGTAACCAATATTCGACCCACACGACGACCACAATTCTACCTGCGGCTGACAACGGGAGCGAAGAACATATCTTACAGTACCCAGAAATGCCTACGAAGAGCACCGACGGCATCGGCATTGTCCGGACGGTTGAGTTCGACGTGGAGAACTCGAGCGCCCGGAGGTAATCTTCTACTTTCTTTAATCTTTCTTATGTTTTCATGATATTTAATACCTACTCTGCAATTTCTATAGCGTCACTTTCAGGCGTTGTTGGGTGGCATGTTGTATAACTTCAGTGTTGGAACGACGAATGACGACGCAGCGACACTTGAGGCATTATTAATCGGCGGAAAAGGCCTTCGCATTTGCATGATTCAAACTTCAGAATTACTAGTAGATTAGCGAAAATCGACTACTGGATTTCAAACCTCGGAACCTGCGGAATGGAGTGGATCCCAGCGAACTCTAGTTGGTGCTAGAGCTGCTAGAACGCTGCTAGATATCTGCTAATCTCGACTAACGTCCCTAACTAACTGCAGTAGGCCCTTACGCCGATGAGAACCCCCGTACCCATTGGCCAATCCCACTCATAATCTCCGCATCGGTGCGTCCTTTATGGGTTATGCCGAACGGCACTCCTGACGATGCCCTTTTGCAATCTCAGGAACACGCACATGGCCATGTTCTCCACCGTGAAGAATGTGCCTCCCTGAATTGCCAAGTGCGTCATGACTCGGCCCGAAGAGAGTCTCCAGTAACGGTCGTTTCTCCAGCCAGACGGCTCCTGAATCATGTATCCACCTTCTGGCTCGATTCACCGGCCTTTTTAATCCTTCGCTTCCCCAACTAGAACCGCAGTTCTGTCAACTGAGCAGAGCTCTCTTCCTGTCACCATGCGCGTCGGTTCTACTATCTTGCCCCTGGCGGGCTCGCTCTTGGTTGAGGCCTCTTCGGTGTCCGCCGGTTGCAGCGCCCTCAAGGGCTCCGTCAACAGTGCCGTCTTCAACCCGAACAGCCCCGTGTACGAGTATGAAGCGCAGAATTTCTGGTCCAACACGGAAATCATGAGCCCCGGGTGTGTTTTCCGCCCGCAGTCGAGCGCTCAATTGGCCGAGGGAGTGAAGGCATTGGTCGATGCCAACGCCCAGTTCGCGGTGCGCGGCGGTGGTCATATGGGCATTCGGGTACGTACGCGGTCGACATTTCCGAATGAATATGTAGTGCTAACCGACGATAGGGATCCAACAATATTGACGACGGGGTGCTCGTTGTTATGTCCAACCTGACTACCCTGGAGTTGTCCGAGGATCAGTCGATCGTCTCGGTCGGTCCCTCTCATAGGTAGGCGTGCCCTTTTCACTATGAAAGAAACATCATCTAAGACTTGAGTGTCTGAGTGTAGATGGGAGGACGTCTATGCCTATCTCGCCGATTATGGCCTCGCCGCGGCGGGTGGCCGTCTGGGCCCCGTCGGTGTCCCCGGATTGCTTTTGGCCGGAGGTGTCAACTTCTACGGCAACCAGGTTGGCTGGTCCTGCAACACCGTTGTCAACTACGAGATCGTCCTGGCCGACGGTTCCGTGGTGGAAGCCAACAAGACGCACTATTCCGATCTGTTCTGGGCCCTGAAGGGTGGCAGCAGCAACTTCGGTCTGGTCACTCGGTTTGATTTGGAGACGATCAAGTCGCCCAAGGTCTGGGCCGGTACCCACACCGTGTCCGCGGAATATGTAGACCAATTCCTGGAGGTATGATCCGTTGCGACATTGGCAAAACGTTAGATGTCTTTCTAACGAACCTCAGGCTGCGGCTACCTATGCCTCCAACATTTCGGACCCCAAGACTCACATCGTGCCGGCGCTGGTTCCGGGCGACGAGCTCCTGGCTTCGGTCATCCTCTTCTACGACAGCGAGGACACCAGCTATCCGGAGATCTTCAAGCCCTTCACCGATATCCCTGCCATCAGCAGCACCCTGGACTTCAAGACTCTGTCGGAGTTTGCTGCCGAGACTGGAGCCATGGTCGTCCCTCACATCAAGTACGTTTTCATACCTCTAGTTGAGCAAAAACATAGTTCCGTGACTAACGCTATTATAGCGATGTGTTTGTCGCTGGCACTGTTGTCGGTACCACCTACGCCGAGCTGCTCCAGGGCATCACCATCATCAACACCACGTTCTTCGAGCACCTGCCCAAGCTGTACGCTCAGATCCCCGCTGCCAACATCTCCACCATCCAGCTGGACTGGCAGCCGATCGGCGCGACTGGATGAAGGCCTCGGAGGACAAGGGCGGCAACGCTCTCGGACTGGACTCCTCCAAGATCTACCTCTGCTATGCCGAGGTCGTCGAATGGATCGGCTCCAGCTACGACGACATCGTCGCCCAGTGGGTCGAGGAAACCACCTATGCCATCAACAACGCCACCCAGAAGGCCGGTCTCTACGACGCGTTCAACTACATGGGCGACGCTGCCGGATTCCAGTCGATCTTCCCCGGATACGGCGAGGAGAACGTGGCCAAGCTGCAGACCATTGCCAAGAAATACGACCCCAACCAGGTCTTCCAGACTCTGATGCCCGGCGGCTTCAAGGTGTACTAAGCCTTTCTTCTTGTACAGTATAGTATGTATATATATAGTCAAGACCGTGTCCTCACGAGGTCCTAGAATATACATATAAGAATCTTCATTGATGTCTTTATTCACAACGGTATTAGATATCCAAGAATGTAATTGCCACCCATCGTAACCCAGCGTCCAGCGCTCCGATCCATTCGTCCCTCACAAACGAACGAAAGTTTATAATGAATGACAAAAAAAACCCCTTAGTTCGACCCCGAGAGGCCAGCAGCCTGGATCAAGAACTGCGCAGCTTCCTGGGCATTGGATCCATAGGACAGATGAGCCATGACGTTCATACCGTTCTGGCACACGGGGTCCCCAGAGGCACAGTACTCCTTGACCTTCGAGGCGGCGAGCTGGCCGACACCCTGCGTCTTGAACGGGTCGCCGAACAAGACCGCTCCAGAGATGGCATCGGCGCCGACCTTGCTGGCGGCGTTGTGCACCACCATGGCACCCTGGGAGTATCCACCCAGGACGACCTTGGTGTTCGGGCACTGCTTCTTGGCCTGCTGGATCAGCTCGGCCATCTTCGGTCCGCCCGATGCGCCCATCATGGCGTTGCCCTGTTTGCCGTTAGCCTTTTAATTTTTTTTGAACGATGGGGAGAGCGGGCCACATACAGCTGCATCGGCAGGGTAGTCAACACCCTGCACAGTCACCTTGTTGCCGGTCAGAGAGGCCAGCTGGTTGGCGACCGGGGGTCCCACGACCGACCCCATGTTGCCCATTTCGGTTGTTCCACGGGCGAAGATGAAGGTCAGCTCCTGGCAGCCCGAGTTCTGAGTCACTCCGTTCTCTGTAATCGACGCACGTTTAGTCAACCCGGGCAAGCCGCCAGAAGAGGAACCGCCCAGCAAGCTGCTCAGGTCGGGAATGTTACCAGTGCTAGATCCGAGACCGGGAATCCCGCTGCCGGAGGAAGAAGAGCCGCCAAGTCCCGGGATAAGGGAGGAAAGGCTGCCGAGACCACTGCCAGTGGAAGAGCCACCGAGGCCGGGGAGGCTGCTGCCAGAAGACGAACCGCCGAGGCCAGGGATGAGGGAGGAGAGACTTCCTAGTCCGCTGCCGGTGGAGGAACCCAGACCGGGCAGGCTGCCACCGGAGCTGCCGAGACCAGGAATCAGAGAAGCGAGGCTACCCAAGCCGCTGTCCGTGGAAGAGCCAGAGCCACCGAGGCCGGGGAGTGAGCCCAATCCTGGGAACTGACGGCTTTCGACCGTCTTGGTCGGGGCAGCGATGGCACCACCAACGAGAGCGAGCGCGGCGATGGCTTTCATGTTTGTGTAATTCCGAGGGGGGGATTGAGGGGTTCAAAGAATGACAAGAGCACAGCTCTGATAACGAATGACGGTTGATGGAATGAACGGTAGAGAAAGAATGGATTGGATCCGCTGGGATGGACGAGACAATCTCTGAAGATGCGGACGAGGATGAGGGTTTTTATACCCCTTTTCCCATACTATCCCAGCATCACAACAGGGATAAGGTTTTGATGCCTTGACTACATGAGTATAGTGCTCCTCCGTATTCGGGTTGATCTATGGTTAAGACAGTGGGTCTGGTTTCATCCTTTTGATGGTTTTTGGCATCGGTCGCTGTTAGGGTTAAACTGTTTGTGACTTGGTACCCCAGGAACGTTTGAGGTGCACTGCGCACTCCACGGTCAATTCCCCGATGACATCTAGGTATTTCTCAATCTGCGTGCTTCTGGCCGGAGCGCCATAGCTTTGTGTATACTTAGTTTATCAATACCCGTGGCATTACTCGCCGAATTCGTAGCTTGTCTGTGTATGTGAAAGACTACTCGGGATTTGTCTACCGAATCCTGAGTGCCGATCTAACTCGGACCATACCAAGAAGAAATGCTAGCGGTGCGTGAATCAGGGAACAGTTCCTGGAAGGATGAACGGTGCGTGGTTATCGGCCGATCAATCTCACGCTAAATGTGTAGGGGCCTTGCCAGCTTGTCTCAGAGTGCAACAAGCCCTAGGCTCCGGCTCAGCCGCGGACCCAAAAGGATATTAGTCGCCATGTGAGGTATCACTGGGCCAATAACTCTGCGACTGACTCGAGACAAATATAGCTCAGCGTTCTTACAGCTGATTGCTGGAACGGCTGTCAAGCTGTTTGCTGTAGATTAACTGGTTCAGGGATGCTGTGGAGTTAAGGCTTAGTTAGGGTTTGGGTCGCGATCACTCAAAAATCAGCCCTGGCTTCGACTCCCCAAACGGGTGATTTCTCCGCGCCGTTAATCAATCTTCCGAGATATTGCCGGTAGTGTTGATCCATCGCAGTGCCTTACCACAATCGTCGGGTCCATTTGTTGGGTTCTGTCTCTCGATCGACATGAGATTCGAGTTGTGTTGGGAACTCGGTCGAACGGGCTTTTTGGTAGGACGCAACCCGTACAGATCCTATCTTGCACCCATCAACCGAACTACTCTCGATTTCCGTGATAAATTATACTTAGGAGAACTACTACGGTACTGCATTTAGTCTAATTGATGTTCGTATCTTAAAACATATATTGAATCAGCAATTTCTCTGTCTACACACCGA